TGCTGCCATCTGTTTAGTGTAGAACAGATTTAGGTAGTAAATCTGTGTAAATAGTCAATCTAGTAAATAGTGTAGAGGGCTTTTCCCTCAGCCATACTAGAGGAGATTGTCTTCCAGGCAGAGCTGACTGCCTGGTGCCTTTTACCCTCTCAGAAATGAGAGCTTTGAGAAAAAAAAAGAAAGTGACTTTTGCTGTTGTTTTTTCTTTTGGTCCTGTGCCTTTGCTGCCTAGCTTGTCATTGCAGTTTGGAGAAGGAAGATTCCACCCACTGTGAAGGGTACAAAACAGTGTAACGCTTACAGAAAGCACCATGGGAAACTTAAGCCTCGTCTGTCACTGACTTTAGAAATAAAAGAATTACTTGCAAATACAGATGGAGGATCGATTTAGTAGTGGCTCTCACCTTACTCTGTAGAAATTTAAAACACTGCTGATTTAACACCTCCACAAATTCAGACTCAAAGTCTTGGTCACTGTACCAGGCCCCACCGGTCACTGATCGGTCAGGCTGCAGGTTATACAGCATATACACCTTCTTCTTGGATGCCTGGTAGAGAAAGCACAGAGCTCTGAATAGATGAAAGTAAAGTCTAAGGCACAGTAATGATAGCTTGAGTCACCTGGATTGATGTGTACAACTCCTACATTAGATGGACATACAGAGAAGATTTATACATTGCTATATGCAACAGGCTCTGCAACAAGACAGGACCTGAGCTGAAAACCAGAAGAGTGCCCAAATAATATGCACATGCCAATGATTTGCAATTAAGCAGGTAAGGCAGAGCAGGATGCTGCATAAGCATTACAACAGAATGACAAAAGTACTGAAAAGAATAGCCCTGTTCTGGTATGTGGACTATTTGCATGTAAGATATGAAAGTGCTTGAGTAACTGGAACAAAATAGAATAACCAAGACTAAGAATCAAATGTTTTAACACTTTTCAGACAACAGATATCCAGTATTGATCAGATAACTGAAGGCTGCTCAGGGATCTTCAGAGAAGAACCACTTTACAATGGCACCTGCAGGTATGTAACTGTATCACTGCTACCATACACAGCTACAAATGCTTAAGTATTGGTTTAAGAGATACCACCTTCTGGTACAAACATAGCAGAACTGGGACCCAGGGAGACAAAGTACTCATAAGCAGGTTGCTGATTTAGATGGAAACAGTGGATGAAGATGGTAGGTAGATGGTGGAAAACCCAGCCAAGAAACAGAAAAGAATTCAGTACAAACACAAGTCAGCAATCAACAGAGGGAGGATGTGCAGATGGCAGGAGCGTGGATGCCTGCAGACAGCAGAGCTGCTGACCTATAAACCTAAAAGCCCACTGGGATGCTGGAAGCAAAAGTTTCAAACAACCCAGGCTCTTGAGTAGGTTTTATGTCCTCAAGAATGCATATGGAACAGCAGAGAAAAGGGAACAGAACCATGACAACAGTTTCGTCTAATTAAGAGCACCGAAGCTGTTGATTTGATAATAATGGTATGTCATTAACAGTAGTGTGAACAGTAATAGAGCAGCATATTAGCAGTGATGTATTTATTACTTACATTATTAATTCTTCTGCTAGTAATATGTTTATTATTTATTAAATTATTTATTAAACACAGCATGTAGCAAACATTTGAAAATGTTAAAAAAAAACAAGTCACAAACTACTCACTGCCACAGATTTAACTGCTTTAATTAGTTTCTTGCTTTCCAAGTTTTTCAATATCTTGTTGATCTCCGTTAAAGGCAAATTACTTTTGTATCTAATGTCCCTGCTCCAAATACCTGTTTAAAAAGCACAGAAATGAACAGAAATGAATTATGAGAAGCAGGTATTTTTTTCTCTCAGCCAAAGGATGCATCTCCAATCCTACCACCCTCAGCAAAAGGGAGGGAAGGGGAAAAAGAGGACAAAATAAAAATCACCTGATAAAACAGAAGAAAAAGCTCACACCACAGTCACCATCTCCACCTCTGGGAGCTCTTATACATACACCTCATTTGGCCTCACAGAATTGTTCTTGCACATTTAGTATCCATGCTCGCTTTAAACATTACAGCTACTTCTACCAGCTCTCTCTCAACAGGAGTGCAGAGATTCCTAAGAAAGCCTTGTTACTAGCAGTGGTTTCTGCTGTTAGTGCAGTTACTAAATCCAGCAGAGATATAATGTTGTCTTTTCAGTAATGAGTGTTTGTACAGATTCCTCTGTTTCACAGTCCCATAAATAAGCCATAATTCATATTCTAAAACTTCATATTTCAAAAGAGGTCCCAACAGGTCAGACCACAGAATTTGTTATTTTAATAGAAAAATATGTCTTCCTTTGTTTTTAATAAGCAGACACATGGAACATCAGCTACAGAGTTGTTAAGTGTACTCTTCATTTTATATCTGTACTGCCTGGACAAGAATTTAAAAGTTTGGATGGAAAAAGTTCCATAAACAAAGTTACTACCATTCACCATTATAATTTATTTAAACTACCTTTGTTGCCTGCATCTTCTATAATTTGGTAAACCAGCTTCTCTTGATTGTCAGAGCCTTTCATTTTACTGTGGAGTAGAACAGACAACGGGATTCTTTTTTAAAGTCTGAAAGAGGGTGGATTTATTTTAAAGCAAAAACAAATTCAATGAAAAAAAACCACAACGCACAAAGGAAGAAAGAAGCCCTACACAATAAACCAGCCACTGGCAAATAAAATACATGACACCAAATCTCTCTGGATCATTCTGAGCTTGCCAGTGAGAAGCCACAGTAAAGAGAAAACAGCACAGTTGAAAAAAAAAAATAATATTAGTAATTAAAAATGAGGGTAAGCAGGATTCACTCAACTTCTCTTAACAATGAGAAATTTGGAGTCATATATTAACACAACTGCGTAAGGTCAAACAGCGCATAACTCAGGATCAACTGTCCTAACAAGGGGACAGCAGAGTGCTCCAAGCTCCACAACGTGCCTTTTCACTGGTCTGAGACTTCACTAAGCCTGAACTCAGGAATCTTTTTCTACTGCATTGGAAAGAGAAGTTGAGGTGCGTGCACAGAAGATAATTTTGAAGGCCGTTTCTTTCTAGAAGTAAATCCTGGCATCTCCTACTCAGATTCACATAGGCATCACAAAACATGACTTCTTTGAAGGTACATTTTAATAAATCAAATAAAGAGCATCAACAACAGATCAAGTGGTCTTCTGGAACTGTTGTAAGTGCTGAGGAAGACCACAGAACTAGTTGTAGATGCTGTGGCCAAGCTGCAGCTGGGTTTCATCTGAGCATACACATCTGCTCACACAGATCACTTTGCCAGATGAAGAATTCTGCTAGCAATTTACAGCTGGAGCCTCACGGTAGCCTCTGTGCAGCAGAAATCATAGAACAGTTTTCAGGATTGACTCAGGGGAATTAAGCGTATCAAGCAATTAAATTCTGTAACCTCCTTATCACAGAGCCCACCTTAAATTCCTTACTGCAATCCCAACAATGCTGCACGTCAGTTGCACAACTGTGTCCAAGTATTTATTCCATAAGCACAAGGCTTACCTTGCATTTTGAGACTCTTTGATTCTATACAGGAGACCTGAACTGCTCCTGAGAAGGTCCAGTTGCCCCTGTGGGAAATAGGCACAGCACATTAACTTTCCTTCTAACTGCTTGTTTTCAGAACGTGGCAAAAAATCTCAACTTGCAAAGAAAATACATTTACTTTCTATCAGCTGAATAAAGAAAAGAGAAAAACAACACTTCTAACTGCTAGACACAACAGTATCCTTGAGGATATTATCTTTCCCCTATGACCATCCATTTATCATTAGCTATCAGAAATAACAAATACAGTTCCAGCCTCTTCCCACAACATTGGTGCACTTCCCATTGTTTCTCCTAACTTTCACCTTGTACAAGGGACATCGAGCTCTTGTATACTTCCCACCAAAGTGCTCATTTGCACCCAGATATCAAGTGAGAGCTCTATTGGACAAGAACATTAAACAATTCTGATTTCCAGTGGAAGAGATGGGGGTTCTTATTTTGTTGGTTATGTTCTCAGTTTTGTAGAGATCACCAGAAAACTGCCAGCCAGGTTTGAGAATGCCTCACAGAAGCCAATTATTCACACAACAGATGTTAACTTTGTATTACAGAATGGAATCAGTACATTCTGAGATATATTTTAACAGGTTATGGTGAGCGATACAAGTGGTCATGGTGATCACAAGTGGTTATGAGAACCAAAATTAAGCTGCGAAAACTGCCCCAATTATGGCAAATGACACAAAATCCAAGATGAACTTCCTAGTCCTGCCGGGCTGGGTGCTACCATGCAGCCCACTGACATCGAGAGAGCCTCAGGCTGAAGCAACGCGAGGGAGTGGGGAGCACCCTACCATGGAGAGCAGCCTGTTGATGGCCATGGCTCGCTGCTGGGCCTCCATGTGGGGCATGTCATTTTGGATCACCTGGTCCGTGATGCCGTGAGGGAACTGGTGGCACAGCTCGATGATCCTGGGAAAGGAGAGAAGCAGTTTGGGAACCAAAGACTGCTGCGCCTCAAACCAGTCCCTTGAAAGGTTATCAGAGCCGGGACGGAAGGAAAAGAACAGCCCAGAAGAAGTAAGGACGAACCGCTTCTCAGCCACTGCCAATGAGGAGACACAGCGCCCGGCCCCGCTTCCTACCAAGACGCCTCTCCACCTCATGGAGAAACGGCCTCAGCTCTTCCTGACAGCGCTGCTGCTCCACTTAACTATTAGCCTCTTCTCAACAACAACGCACCGAGCCCCGCCGCTCCCCGCTTCCCCAGCACCACGAAGCCTCTCCCGAGCACAGAGGGCCGAGGCCCGGCCCAGCGCACCTGCTCTCTATGTCCACGGGGTCGGGAACCTCCGGCTTCACCTTTACCTCCGCCATAACGGCGGACTCGGCTGCGCGGGGAGATGACGTCATGGGGGCGCGGCGAGGACCCGTTGCCGAGCGGCGGATCGCGGCGGCGCGTTGAGGTGACGTCACTTGCGCGCGGCGGTGCCGGTTGCCGAGCAGCGGGACGCGTAGGCTCAGATCGCACTGTTGTTAAGAAAAATCATCGTCTGCTTTTCTGTTGTCGTTCCGGTTTAGAGATCACCGCTGAGAAGGATGACGGCGGGCTCTGTGTCGGTGCCGCAGGTCATACCCCTTCGGAGCCCTCTTCCAGGGCGGGCCAAGCACCGGATAGACACCAGTACTCGACTAGAAATAAAGTCAGGTACGAACTGCAGCTTTGCCTCCGTAGAACCTTTTGTTACGCGATCATTTGAACCTTTTAGCCTCCATGCCGTTGTTTGCAGATGATTGTGGTCTTTGCGATCTTTATCATAGGATCACAGAATGGCCTGTATTGAAAAGAACCACAATGATCATCCAGTTCCACCCCCTGCTGTGTGCAGGTCGCCAACCAGCAGACCAGGCTGCCCAAAGCCACATCCAGCCTGGCCTTGGATGCCTCCAGGGATGGGGCATCCACAGCCTCCTTGGGCAACCTATTGCAGTTTATGATCTTCCTTAAGTACCCTGCAATATTACCTATTTGGGTACACCCAATATACTTGCACCAGCATTTTTTTTTTTATTACATGCAAACAATATTACTGACCCAAGGTTATTTTAGTATATTAGTGCTCTCAACAGCTAGTCTCAGGACAGTTTTGTTCTGAACTTTTATGTAATTGCTTCATTATGTGAGAAAATCAAGCATGGTACTGGATATTTCCAGAGTCGTAGAGATGATGTTTGGCTTTTTTCCAGTTCCTGCACAGTTTGGCTAATTACTTTCTCTGTGTTGTTCAGATACACCTGAGGTCTCTATTTATTACACTTTAGATGGAAGTAAACCAGAACTTTTTAGGAAACCTGGCTATGGAGAGCATAACACTTTTAAGTACAAGAGTCCTATCACGTTACCAGTTGGGAAAATAACAGTCAAGGCTCTTGCAGTTACCAAGTAAGTATCCTGGTCTACTTTATTTCTGTTTTGGATGGGACAAAAAGCAGCAGTGGCTTGAAGCCGTGCGGTTTAATGAAGTTTGTACTTAGCAAACAAGGGGCAGCAATCTCCCTGGCCAGGAGATTTCTGGGTTGCTTTCTCATAATGCTTTTTATTCATTAATAGCTTATTTATTGACTTTCAGGGACTGCAGGGAGAGTGCTGTTGTAACAAAGGTGTTTCTAGTAGAGTACAAGCAACCAAACATCCTCTTCTCTATGGAAGACGATGACAAGAAGTTCCTAAAAGATGTCACAACACAGGCAAGTTTTAGCAATTGTAATCTCTCGTCTGAATATAGAAAGTTTGATGTATGACAGTGCTTAGAGATTAAACCTTGACTGCCTGTATTTTCTACATATTTTATTTTCCCCGTTGCTCATCTTTGCAGCCTCAATCCTTTTTATAAAATGAAATTTATAAAATGAAATGTTTTTTTCTTTTCTCACTGTTCTGTCATGACCAATTTGGGTTAAATATACTTAAAATACATTTATCCTCTAAATTTTTCAAATGCTTACAATGAAAATAAATACTTTAATTATATGCCTTTAAAATCATAACAAATAACTACAGCAAGGAAGGATTAGAGCAAAAAGCAACCAATCCTAAGTATTCCAAATGAAATCACTTCTTAGGAGAAGGAAGATGAAATGTTTACTACAAAACTAAAGAAAAATGGTCTGGATGTGGAAATCAAGCCTGCCTGGAGTGAATCACCCCAGGAATTTCAAGGTACGGTATTGCTGCAGGAAATCAGAATAGACTTTCTTTTCTCTTAGCTGAAAATACAGTGCAAGATTTTCACCTAATGTCATCGTTAAAATATAGATAATTCTAAAAAACATCTCAGTGGACAAAACATCTTCTGAGAAATCCAATTTCCATTTCTCGACACTGCACATAGGGAACAAAAATTGCCTTCTATACATACCACGTTGCTTATTAAAAAGAAAAAAATGTGATTCATTTCTGAGCAACATAAGAAGGCTCAATCTTGTACAAGAAAATGACATTAAATTGACGGGATTGCAAATTTATTTGCAGTAAGATTTTAAATAAATCCACAAAGCAGAAACGAAAGCTTGATGGATTTTTATACATAAAGGCTGTTAGCCTGTGCTAACAGCAATGGGAGTGTTCAAGAGCAGGGAATCACATTAATGTCTGTGCATTTTACTCTTGGTTTTTGAAATGCAGGAAGGAAAAAAAAAGCTAAATTGAGGAAAATATAAAAGGAAGCTCATTTGGAAAGGAAAGAGGTTTCTTCTAGTTTAATTTCCTGTAATTCCACGCAGTTTGTTTTAACCCAGAATATGGATGTGAAAATCAGGTATGAATGACTAGAAATATGCTTGCCTATTGAAATTTAAAATTTGAGAATATGAAATAGTCATATTGACATATATGTCAACTGTATGAAGTGAATACCAGTAGAATAACAAGTCTTTGATTTTAGACTTGGAGACAGAAAGAAAGATTGAGCACAAGCCCCTGCAAGGACCACAGCTCCTGAGCAGCCCTTTGGGAACAGCAGGGTATGGAGAGGATTCCTCAGCACTACCAACAGAGTCCTTACAGGCAAGGAAAGGGGCATGGAGGAAAACTGCACAAGTCTGTCCAGAAAAGAGAAAGATGTGAAAATCTGTGATCATTTTTATACAACCTCTCAGAAACTAGTGCCTTTGGCTGCACCGTACACTACTGATTTAAAGATATGGGTAAAGGCACGCTTCAGTAGGAAAGCAGTTATCAGTAAAGACAAAACCAAGCATGACAAATTACCAATGCCTGCACTGTTACAAATCCCTTTCTAATACATTACTGAAACTGCAATTAACAAATGTTTAAAACCTAAGATTTAAACATCCTGTCATGGATGTGACAATTTTATTTTTTGTTAAGAATCTCTGGGTCACTAATACAGCTAATGGGAAGTGTATTAGATATTCCTTAAAGCAGTATGTTTCAATGCACTTTGTCTCAAATCACATGTCTTTAGCTGTATTAGCTAGATGCATTTATGTGCATTTTGTATGCATTTGGCAAACATTAATTAATGCAAAAGAATTACCTTTATTTCAGTTTGCCAGTTCTGCAGTGCCCAGCCGGAAGAGCCTAGCAAGCACACAGGTGGCAAGGATCCAGAGAGAGAGAGATTTCCTCAGGTGAATGACTTCCATTGACATCTTTGTCCTTAGAAAGAAACAGAGCAATTGCTTCCAACAACTGAGTTGATGATGCTGTGAGACTCTGCTATAAATAAGAAAAGCAAAACAGTTACTCACAGTAGGTGACACAGCTCAGGTATCAGTAGACCTTATATGGTGAGTAAAAATCATGAAAGAGCTTCCACCTTGCAAAGCTCTTCATTGTTCAGCCTCCTGCAAAAGACACTGGGGAACGGCCTGGTGAGCCACCATAGACTAGGAGCCACAATTTACAAATCAGTGGCCTAAGTCCAGACACAAATGGTTCCAGATTTGTCACTGTTACGCACCAGTACGTCACCAAAACAAGATCAGCCAGCTTGCTGTTGTTTTCAGATGTGCATACTGCTCTGCACCTCGCCTGTCTGACCCCTCGGCTCACTTCTGCCAGGAATGTGGCTCTCCTATCCCACCCATGCCAGTGCGCCGCTTCCCATCCCCTGAAGGAGCACAGGTCAGCAAAACATCGTAACACAATGAATCCTCTGTGGAGGAACTTCCTCAGCAAATTACATGTTCATTGTTTAGTCACTCTTTCATTGGAGAAGTTCTTTTTCTTATTTTGTTTGGAAATTTCAGCAGGGAATAACTACCAAAGTAGTTATTCAATGGAGGGCAAAATTAACTGGATTGCTGCAGGTGCCACATATTTTAATAAGGACAACTTTATAAAAGTAAATTGTATTTTATTCACTTGTGCCAGGAAACATCACCAAATTCAGATTCCTCCTCATCCTGCAACAACAACTGCATCTTCAGGAGCTGCATATGCATCTTATTTCAGTGCTAACTAGTGAGGTTAGTTAGCTAGTAACTAGTGTCTATGCCACAGCTGTAGAAGATCCATCTAATATGCCTGAAGATTTGAACAGTGGTGTGTATGTCAGAACACTAAGTTTTTGCAGTTATGTCTGTAACTGTCTTCCATAAGCTCTTCCCAGGAGATAATAACCCTATCTAATGAGTCAATGGTGTTGTTTTTTTCCTCCTGTATCCTCAGAAAGATGTCTTGTCTGAGACAATGCTGTAGTTTCAAGAGATGACTGAAAATATTGAGCACCTCTGTAGTTCATAGTTACAACGACTTGAGCTGCCTACACACATTATGATAGCATTTAAATTGACTGTGAAGTAACTTAGCACCTTTCTGGCACACGTATCAGTAAAGCATTCTCTTTGATCAGTGTCAACTTTTGTTTTCTGCTGTCAGTCCACTGACTTTGCTGCTGATAGAAACTCTAATGAGCAAGATATAGAAAATACAATATTGTGACATTAATGACAATATCGTGGCAAACTGTCACAGTATCATTAAGGATCTCATGATAACCTTAATGATCTCCTTAATAAGATGTGATACATTTTTTCTTTCAGATGGCACCATGTCTTGAATGCAAACATCTCGTGCCAATGAATACGCCCACCTGCATTGTGTGTGAGTCACCAATAGATCCACAACTGCAGCCCCAGACCAACACCTGCTTTAAGGTAACTGAGAATAAATATAACAACTCAGTAATTTAACTCCTGGCATGCATTTCTTTAACAGGTGACAACTCTATGAATATTTTGAATCTAACGTGAAATACCTTAAAGCAGCATTAAGAGTTAGTAGGGTTAAAAAAGCTTGGATAGGAATAATTATTAAAGGCAAAAACACATAAGCTCAGGAAAGCACGCTGAAGAGCACCTGAGGTAGAAGCCCCAATGACAGGAATGCATGGAACTGTATTTAGTAGGGATCATCTTATCAATAAAGTGTATTAAGTATATTCTGATTACTCTGCTTACCTCATGTGATTGTGAGTGCTCAGTAGAGGTCAGCTGGAAGGATCAGGGCGGTCTTGGTCAGTGATCTGAAAGTACTGATAGCTTTAACTGGACAAAGTTGGCCCTACAAAATACTCCCCATGTGCGGGCATGTGGACCATGGGAACCTTCCTCAGTCGTGCTGCTGAGGGAATAGGTTGTGAAGTGGGGACTGATATTACACATCAGCAATTGGTTGTGGAGCTGTTGACAAAAGGGTTTTAGTTTCTATGATTACAGGACCTTGCTTGAGGATCAACATTTCCTTAAAGAAATGGGATCCACCTCATTAAACAGGGCAAGGGTATCTTGGCTAGCAAAATATCTTTATCAGGCTGACCAGATAAGGAGGGCTTTAAGCTAAGAATAAAGTGGAATAAAAGTTCCTAGCAGCCCTGTGAAGCAGCCCCTGAGGCAGGGCTGACAAGCACAGGAACACATAATCGACAAAACAAGGTTTTTGTTTTTTCCTTGCAAATATGGCTGCCTCTGTTGTGCATGAGTGCAGTGACTGAACAAGCTGACACTAATGACTTTAAAGGCCTGCAGGTATTGATACTGGATCTTGAGTGAATTGTACTGTAGATTGAATAAAATAAAACTGGCACAAAGATATGCAGATGTGTGACAATGAGGCAATACAGCTTAACAAAAATCTGAAGCCCACAGCACAGACTTCGTCTCTCTTCTAATTGCAGAGCTGAATAAGCACAGCAGTTTCTAAGATAAAGTCCTCTTGCTATGATTGTTGTTCACTGTTTTCAAATACTGTATGAAATGTATTCTTTCTTTATTTAAAAGGGCAAAGTGATTTGTCAGGCATGTGGCACAGGAAATCCTCTTCACCTTAAACATTGCGTGACCTGTGAAAGCAAACTGCCTGAAACACAGATGGTAAGGCTTGTGTCGGCTGCGGTAGCATTACTGAAATCAAACCATAAAATTATTTGCTTTTCAAAGCAGAAGTCATGGCCCTGTGTGCCTATGTTACAAAAGCAGAGGATCCCACCCACATGCCATATTGTGGATCAGTACTCCCACAGATGCACCATCACAAAGGACAAGCTCAGCATTATGCAAATGTATCCTATACTTTCAAATTTCTCCTGCGGAAATCAGGACTGGAAATGCCATTGTCAAAACTCAGGATGCTCTTTAAAAACAGGTAGCTGTGACTCCATGGGAGTCCTGCTGGTATTCAAATTATTTTTAATTGCAATAGAGAACTAGAAGAAGATTGTTCTCATTGATTTAAGTTACTTTGTGAAAACAAAATCGCCTTTTACATTATTTTTGTTATCTCCATTTGCTGCTGCCCCTATGTAGATGAAGTTCCCGTGTTTGTATTTGGTGCTGACTCTGCACAAAAAAAAAAAAGTAACTGTTCCCTCTAAAATTGATGTTTGCTTCAGATCTCATTTTAGTTTGCTTATTGAATACCTTGGAAGAATTTTAGTTTTACTTTGGAAGAGAGAAATCTTGTATGAAAAGCTTAGGATACATTTCACTTCTTCAGATTCTCAAGTAGAAACGAGAGAATAACAATTTGCAAGTAAAAATCTGATCATTATGGCAACATCCTGAGTTTTAAAACCATCAGTAGCCAGATGCAAAGGTCTCTGGTACAGCCAGTGAGGTGTCACTTCAAAGTGAACTTCAGTAGGAATCTGTACTTACTTACCTAAGAAGATCATGGGTTTAACTGCTTCACTGAATGTAGGCATTAATGTGTAACTGCATAAAGTTGGGCATGTGACATGAACAATGAGCTCTGTAATGGCCAAGAAAGAAAGTTAAATGCTCATTTAATCATCAATGTTCTACAAACTTTACTGTTAATATTGATTGGTGATAACCAAGAGTAATTCCTGAATAACTGATTAACTGATCATTAGTAATAATACTGATATTGCTATTTATGATTGTTAAATAATTTAGATGTAGAACATGTTTAGACTTGTTAGTTCCCTGAAGCAAAACCTAATAAAACATTTTATGCCTATTTGTCCTAGTTAGGATCTATGTTCAGCCTCTGCAAGTTTCAGATGAAAAAAAAAATCTTTCTTTTGCATACCGTGTAAGTAAATTGTAGTTGAAAAAGTAGGTAATATGTAACTTGTATGAGGTAAATGTGTGCAAAAAAAATATCCACGTGGCAGATATCAGCTGAGTGAAAATTCGCTGTCTGAACACACTTTCCTAACATACTCCAAGAAAGCTTTTAAAAGGTATTGAGAAAAATAACTCTTGTGTTTTGCATTTCAAAGTACAAGTTTACCAGGAGAGAAACCTCCTTGTCGATTCCAAATATGCATGGGGCCATATGAATAAGCATGCACTGTAAAAGAACAAGATTGCAAAAGATTTTTTTTTTGCACTATTTTGTACTAAAACAAACAGTAAATTAATTAGTACCACATTTTATTGTGGCTTTGCAAATAAAAAAGTGGCAAGTTAGAGCAAAGTCAGTCTGTTGCTTATTCTATGTTGAAATAATTCCTTTAGGCTGAATTTTATGTTATCAACACAGCTTGCTTTCCTGTTTCACCTTATTTAGCCATTGAACTTTTCTTTGTAAGAACTGTTTTCTACCTAATGCTTACCTTGTTTTATTAGCCCACGTTGGGAAGAGATCCTCCCCCACCTTACACCAGTCAGCAAGGGAAGACAGTATTCTGCTCAAAATGCAATCGTGTGAACCACTGTGATGCACGTTTCTGTGACTGGTGTGGAGCCAAGGTACGCTGGTCTTTTTGTTGACAAATCTGTTTTTGCTCATCTGTGAGCTGCAGCAATTACAATTTTCTCTTTGCAAAGCTCTTGTCAGATAGCACATAGTTACTACTATCAAAACACTTGCTTAAAGCACACAGGATAAAGAAAAAATAAAGACTGAGGTTATATCTTGACTCCACTTTAGTCAATGACTAAAGAGTTTAGAGATGTAAATAAATTGCCATGGATCAGTGAGCATCACCTTACTCCATCTGTTGAGATGCAGTAGCCACGCACTCTGCCAAAGTAACTTATTCATTAAGAGTTAAAGCATACACTAACATAACTCAAGTTTTCCTACATTCCTACATCCTGGGCTATGATCATCTGTCTATTCAGGCAGCTACCAGAGATGAGATGATGCATGCAACTGTTTTGGCTGAAGGCCTTAAGTAAAGAGAAATACATTCTCAATGAATGCTCAGTAAAATTTTTGCATGGTACAATTTCAAGGTAAGATTATTTTCCCAGAGTATAATACTTTTTTGTTTTTTTCTGTGAGCTGAGTCTACATAAAACTGAAAACATTCCCCTATATGCAAACACAGGGGGTCAGTACCAGGACCACTACTCTTTAGTATCTTCATCAGTGACATCAACAGGGGGATCAAGTGCATCCTCAGCAAGTTTGTGTATGACACCAAGCTGTGTGATATAGTTGACAGACCCAAAGAATGAGATGCCATTCAGAGAAACCCAGATGGGCTCTGGCAGTTGGCCCAGGAAAACCTCATGAAGTTCACAAGGTCAAGGTCTTGCACCTGGGCCATGGCAACCCCTACTATCAGCACAAGCTGAGGGATGTAAAGATAGAGTGCAGCTCTGTTGAAAAGGAACTGGGGCATTCTGGTGGGTGGCAGCTGAACAGGAGCCAGCAATATGCCCACACAGCCCAGAAAGTCAACTGTATCCTGGGCTGCATCAAAAGAAGTGTGGCCAGCAGGGTGAGGGAGGTGATCCTGCCCCTCTGCTCTGAGCTGTGAGACCTCACCTGGAATGCTGTGTCCAGATGTGGAGTCCTCAGTACAGGAGAGATGTGGATCTGTTGGAGCACATCCACAGGAGGGCCACACAAATGATCCAAGAAATGGAACGCCCTTAACACAAGGATGGGCTGAGAGCTAGGGCTGTTCAGCCTGAGGAAGAAAGAGAAGGCTCCAGGTAGACCTGAGAGCAGTCTTTCAGTAGCCGAAGGAGGGCTGTAAGAAAGAAGAGGCCAGGCTCTTCAGCAGAGTCTGTTGTGATAGGAAAAGGTTTCAAACTAAAAGGAGGGAGATTGGATATAAGAAAGAAGGTTTTTTTTTTTTACAATAAGGGTGGTGAGGCAGAAGAACAAGTTCCCCAGAGAGGTGGTGGAAGTCTTATCCCTGCAAACATTCAAGGTCAGGGTGTACAGGGCTCTGTGCAACCTGACCTACCTGTAGGTGTCCCTATTCATTGCAGGGCAGTTGGACTAGATCTGTCGGAAAACACGTTTCTCTCCATATGGTGGCGCTGAGATTGCTGAAGAGTCAGTCTTGTATCTACCAGCGTTAGTCATCTGGTATCTTGGTTAATGTTTCTAATCTAATAGCTTTAGATAGTGTTATTTTACTGCCTTTTAATTCATGTAATAGCTTTCCTTTCCCAAACTGTGTGTTGTATTTCTGTAGTCACAAGTGTCTCGTTAAACTTTCCAGCCTGACCCTCTGCCATGCTACTTTACTTGTTACAAGTGTGGTACAAAAACTCGTCCATATGCTCGTTTCTGTGGGTCCTGTGGTGTTTACATAGAGCCCCCATCAAGGTTGAGTTCTCAAAATGGAGTTCACATGGATTCTGGAGACTCGCTGAGATTTTCTGAGGTAAGACACACAGAAATTCAAAGCCAGGCTTGAATATGGCTAAAAGACGTACTGATCTACACCAACAGCAGACTAACCTAACTCTATGCACTTCCTTTTTGAGATGTTGTGCTCTGTGAGCACGCCGAGAGCAAAACCAACTATATTTGTACTGATAACTATCTTCTTCATAAATGTGGACTTAGCCAAAGGCTTTAATCCAGTCTTATTTAAATACCAAAATGAGAAACAAGCAGCTTTTCAAAAGTCTTCATTCTTTAAGAAATTTTATCTTAGTACTTGTAAATTATTTGCGTCCTGCTAATATAAGGCACTACTTCATGAATGTGTGACTCTGCCTTGAAAATTAGCAAGGCCAACTAAGTGACTTGATTCTGCTGACAGTCACAAAGAGTTTTTCTTTCTCAAATATTTGTGATAAATTGCATCATTGTTACTGACTGATAACTATAACCAACAATTGTTAATAACTCTCCCTTCTAGCTTTGTCATTCTTTTACAATTTTTATACTGTTTTAGCTGTAAGCCATCTAATTACATTAGACTTTTTCTTCCTCTCCACCCTGTACAGCCTAAATCACTTCAAGCTCAAATTGCCTGGCAGCCTCTTCCTATTTCCTTCTCCAAATCGAGAACAGAACTAAAAGAAACAGAAGATAAAGGAACCCAAACCGTTGGACTTTTTTACCCGTCTAGCAAACTGCTGGAAAAGAAGGAACTTGAGCTGGTTTTACACAAGGAAAAGCTGCAAAAGATGAGTGATCATAAGCCTCTCCTGACAGCTATAAGTCCTGGAAAAGGTTAGCAAGAGCTTTGATTTTATGTGATCGTGAACAACTACTCTTATTCAAAACAAAGCCCTGACATATGACCTTGTTTTCATTCAATAGGTGACAGTCTATGCCATGGGCCATCACTGACTGACATCCTTACAAGCCTGTTTTCCAACCAGTCTCTTGTAAATGAAGGGCCTTAGAAATCCAATCACCATAATAGCTAAAAGAAAGCGTGTCAGCAATAATAAAATTGTGGCTAATGAGTCCAGAGCAGTCTTCCTAGAGTGCTAATAGTTTGATTACCTAAGATCCTAAAAGACAAGGGACAAATGTGCCCTGTATCTGGGCTGGAAACCAGTGAACAAATCCTATTCCACAGTGAAGATAGGTTCAATGGAGCCTGTTGGGAATGTTACTGAACAGAATTCTGAGGCACTGAGGGTTAGCTCTTGAAAAATATGATATGAGGCTTGTCTATGTGAAGAATTTGTGTGGAATGGTGTTGTGAAATAAACAGACATTGTAGAAGAAAAATAAACTAAACTAGGGAAAGTGACTCTTAAAAGCATTACAAAGATCGGGTTGGTAAAAACATTGAGAGCTCTGGCAGTCTCCATCTTACAGCCCCCAGAGTATCAGTACATCACTCATTGCAGAGACTGTCCATACAGACACTGCTGTATCAGTACTGCAGTTTCCCTACTCTTTGGCTCTAAAATGTGACATTTTATCTTGGTGACATCACTGTAGGAAAGACAGTTCTGACTTAACTGAGCATGTCAGAGAGCTTAATTTAATCAGAGATAATAAAGGATTGGCCGTTAGTGGTGCAGCTTTTGACTTGTGAGAGAACAACTTTCACTAGGAAAGATTGAGAAGAAATTCTGAACTGCTTTTGAGCAACCCCAGATTTGCTAATTTTTATCTGACTTTAGAACAGACAGCTGTGTTAAAACTACATTCTCCATTAGAGCCTGCCAAGGGCTGAGGAATGTATTTCATTCTGAAAAAAATCAATGTCTGTCACATCCAGTTTTTATGCTGTTCTTTTACCTTGGTGGTAAGCTTAATGAAGGGCTTGAAAGTACATGCATCAACGGGACTATATGCTGACACCCAGTGAAAGCTTCCTTATATAGACCAAATATGTTCTAGAGATTTGGAGAGGCAAAAAAAAATATGGGAATGCTTAAGCTTTTCATACACTCTCCCATACATAATTGAAATGCATGTATTTGGAGATTGAGTCACACAGAGCAGGATGCCATTTAGGCTCCATTACTATGTCTGCAGTTTTCGGATTTGTCTTATTGTTAGCTGTCAGTGACCTCAAATCAACTAAAAATCCGTTCAAAAATGTACAGTTGCTAGTTGTACTATTGTACTTTTATCCTGAAATCAAAAGTTTCTTCTTTGCACAGGGCCAGTCTTGACTCCAAAGAACTCTGAGATATGATTTTGTTGTGAACAGAGCTGCCCTAAGAATGAATTATATCTTATGGATGAGACAGTATTCCACCTTTTTTTTTTTTTTTTAAAGAGTATAACTTACTTGATCAGTTACATTTTCTGAAGAAAAATTCAGTCCTTTTTTATGTTTCTGTGAAAATCTTCTATACTTAAAATAAATTATCAGATGAGTAGAAGAAATACTAATCATAATGTCAGGGATGTTTCTCCTGCTTAACTCTCTCTCATCAGGCTACTGGAGAAAACAGCTGGATCACATTTGTGCTCACCTTAGAAGCTATGCTCAGAACAACCTTGAATTCAGAGCACTGGTTGGAGAACCTCGAATGGGAAAGGTAGGAGTAATATCTTCCAATCCAAAGCATCATGAAAAGATTATTCTGGCTGATAGACAAACACTGGAGTAAGCATCTCAGTTTTCTTTAGACCTTGACCCATTTCTATGTGGAGATTTTTGTTTTTGTTGTTCCATTTTTCACTTATTCTGTCACTGAATGTTTATTTCTGCCTATAGCACTCTCTTTTCAGTTAGAGAAGTGACAGAAGCCAGAAGGCTCTTGCTCAGCTGCTTTTACAGAATCCCAGAGCAGGCAATCAAGAAGAGACCATGGACATCTCTGTAGTTGTTCAGTTAAATGAGCCCTACTAGAAACAGCATTTAGGTGATATGTTTGCCCCTGCTCAGAGCTGCATTACACCAGCAGATAGCAGTAATTCTCTGTGGTTATATAGCCTACTTTGAGGATAAACTGTATCAGCAGTGGAACGGTGAATTCTTTTCATACCAGAGATAGGGCCTTCAGTGCACCCAAGTGCATTAAAATGATTAGATTGTAGCAGCAAGAAAGTAGAAATTGGAGGCTCTTCCTAAAGAGTCCTAGACAACACAGCTTGAATGGCAGAGACCACTCGGTCCCTGTCCTGAGGGAGGTTCAACTCTGTCTAAACTTTGCCTGACAGATGTTTGTTTTGAAGCTTTTAAAACTCACCAACAATGGAGATTTCACAATTGCCCGAGGCAGTCCTTTTCTGCAGTCAATTATCCTTTGCAGTTCAGTTGTGGTGCTGTATTGCTTTCTTTGGCAGTCCTGCTGGATTAAGGAGTTGCTTCCTCCCTGAATGAAGGCTTTCCTAGGTGAAGCCAACACAGCTGCTCCTAGGTGATGCCAGCACAAGTGGTAATGACAATGTCCCATGGACTGGATCAACAAAGTGACCTAGGCTAAAACTATCTGGGAAGAAAAAACATCAGTACTAATATAAAAGAAAGTTGGCAGCAAGCAGATGGAGGTGGGATGAAGGCAGAGGTATGGTTAGGAATTCCTTAAACTGGCACAGCTACCGGAAAACTTTTCTGTGTCTGACCTTGCTCCAGTTCAAACTCAATGCATCTTATCCTGTCCTGACTGATATGACACAAAAATGAAGAAAACAAGTATAGCACATAGAAATTGCTATAAAAAAATCTCATGAATACTGAAGTGAGAAATCTGTTATTTGGCAAGAGTTCCTTTTTTGGAAGGTTTAGCAACCCATCAGATATTTTGTACCTGAGCTGTATACCCACTGAGACATATTTGGTAGACCAACATGTTCAGAAACTGTAATGCAACTATAAATATAAAAGATATGTTTGATAAAGGTGGTACAGCAGGTGAGGTGTAGGTCCACTGCAACTTGTTTCCTTTGCTAGTGACCTCAGAAAGCCCGAGTTGCCTACTGCTGCTTTCCTGGGCTTTTGTCATTCTAATATGTTGAAACCACTGTCCCCAAAAATAACAGAAGTTATTCAAAGTAGATGCCAACTATCTGAGCCTCTTTCTCAGTTGTAATGAAGATTGGAAACATAACCAACCTTATATTAAATTCTCAGTCTGCTGCAATATTACCGTATCACATTCATTTCAATTCTTTATAATCCCCTGTGAGCTTACATATAAGTAACTTCAAGACCTTTTTGTAAGCAGTACCCTCTCAACTTTTTTTTTTTTTCCCCAAAGTTGCCAATGTTTTGTGACAGATGGCACTTCTACAGACTGATACAACTAAAGCAGCAGTCATTTCTCTTGGCATAAAGAATCTTAACAACACGACCTTCCATGCAACTGCAAAATCTTGGTTGAAATTGACTGTACTCTTACGGAACACAGACATTTGGCATTTCAGTCATTCTGACGTTCCCAGCTACTCAAAATATTACCTTTTCTTTGCTCAGTTAAATGGGAAGCATTCATATTGTATTAGAAACAGATAAAAGTAATGTGTGATTTTATGTATTGGCTCCACAATAGATACTGACAGCCCATTGCCATGACTCGTTGTTATGTATCTTTTGTAAGAGATATTAACAGTTCTTGGTTGCTCTCTCCCTGCAGATTACTTCTGCTGCCCTCCATGAGAACGACCATCAAGTCACTATTACGTTAAATTATGCTCTTGCTATTAACAAGGTCAGTTTGGGGGATGAGGCCCATCGTCAGGCAGCCCGTGTAAAGTTGTTGCTAGAGCAGTCAGGGTAACATTGATATATTTTAAATTCAGGTCTAAACAAGGTATTATTTTGTTCAGAGGATGTTAATTCTTCACCTCAGAGAAAGGAATCTTCTTTGTTTTCTTTTGGAGCTGGTTCAACAGGTATCTTTATCTGATAAAGCCAGACTTCACAGTCGTGTTGCTATCATTTTGCATTTTGTTAGTTTACTATTAATATTTACATTTTTCTTCCTAGTGATGATATTCAGTCATTCTAGCACCTCTGAGCACCTTATCTTAGAACCTCTTTCCATCTACATATTGTGCTCTTCAGCAACACAGTTAATAATAACGTTCAGTAGTTTGGAGATTTACCAGATCTCCTATAATACTATTCAAACACTCAAAATCCCTACCTCCAGAATCACTGTGTTACAAAAACCAGCTTTTCAAAGATGGAAATCTGCCATCTCAAAGATTCAAAATTCAGACTCTGTCTCCTGTGTAGAATCTTCAAGAGCTCTCCTTGCCAAACGGTGCCTGAGAAGCTGTATCACAGCATTTCACAAGTGAGGAATGAATCAGATCTTTCAGCTGGTAGAGGCACTTTCATTTGGACAAGAATCTTCATTTCAATAAGTGAAGTTGTATAGCTTCTTTTTTTTTTTTAATCAGAAGACACTATCACATAGTTTAGAAGGAAACAGTGCATTATCTTGCCAGAAAACAGTTCAATTCCAGATACTCATGTAATCTGAGACTGATATTGAAAGCCTACATGTTTGCTGTTTTTTTCGGATGTGCACCACCACTGTTTTTGTGCTACGAAGTTTGTAATAGCATAATCTGATTAACTTCCTGCATTTGATCATTCTACAGGGTGTTCATACCAAACCAGTCAAGTTCAATAATCATTACCTGACCAGCGTAACAGAGGGCAGAGATGAACAGGATGGCAGTCAGCCTAGTTCTGGTAAGAATCTTTACTCCTGTCATTGTGATTAAATATTGCAGTCAAGAATAAGGAACTGCTGCTTAGAATGTTAGATTCTGGGACAGGCAAACATACACAAGGTGCACATTCTGTCCCTTAATTTGATCTTTAAGTGTCAAATTCTGTTTGAGTTGTGATTTCAGCAATGGAGACTGTCAAAAGCTCACAGGTCTGCCTCATAGCCAGAGAACAGCTGGAAAGGCCAATGAACTGTGGCCACAGCAATGTTTTTATTCTAGTGATGGAAACTGCAGCTGCTTTGTGTATTGTTTTCCAATAGGAGCCAATATATCTCTACATTTGAGCTCTGCCAGGGACTTCAGCCTTGGTATGTTTGGCAAACATAAGAAATGAAATACATTAACTATAGACCTAGTTTTCAGAGACACTTAACTTCCATCTCCCAATGCCCTCCTGCACAGAGGTATATATATTTTAAAAACACTGGATGTACATATATATTCTCCATGTCCTCTAGTCTTGTTCTCAAGTATTTGGGAACTAAAAAGCATTGAAAAAATTGTTAAGGCTTTTAGTCAAAACAATTCATCCGAGTCAAACTCAATGAATAGCTGCAGCTAGCTAAGAGATTCAAACACTCCAACTCCATATTTCACTGAATCTTCATTTCAAAACAGCAAGTTTTTAAGTCTGCTCGAGTGCAAACCTTTTGTTAAAACCAGTCTGATCTGCAACAAACGTTTCATCACTTTCTCTTGTAGAAAACTAATAAATATCACTTTCATTTCAGCACAAAATGAAATATTTTTGGATCAATTATTTCCAGACTTTTTCCCTGAGTTCTTGTTAGGATACTGACTCTGTTTTGAATTGTTTGCTCATTTCCCTTTCTGGTAGGCAAAGAAGATCATAATCTTTCATATTCAAGAGGCAAAATAAAGAGAACAAAATCAAGAACACTCACAGAAAAAGAAGATAATCTCCTGGTACGTATCTTCTGCTGGTACAGGAAAAACTAGATATGGAGCAGCACCAACAAGAAAAAGGGCACCCAAGGATAAAAATAGAAAGCTGACATGGGGAAATGGAGTTGGGAGGAAGGAGACAGAAGTCTAACTTAATTCAAAAGCTGAAAATTGATGGCTGACCTTTATTTCAAAACTGAAAACGGTCAAGCTGTCTTCCTACCAAAAGCTTAATGAGACTATTCCTGGTTTTGGATTCATTCTGTCTTAATGACACAGTGGTAAATACTGTTGCAGAATGATTTCTTATAGGTTTTTCTAAAAAGCAACATCTGATGGAGGCATTACCATCTTCCCTCGATGTTGCCTCCAGGTTCTGACCCTACAGAACATCCCCTGTGCTGTAGCTGCTGCATGAAGTCTAACTGCAAACAAGACAGGTTACGTAACCTATGCAACAAGTTTTAAATTAGCTCAGTTTTCTCATCAAGCTGAGATGCCAGATGGCCAAGGCATTCTCTAATGCAAAAAGCAAACCTCTATTTCCACTAGAAACCAAGCACTCAGGAAGCACTGCCTACTCTTTTATTCATTATTTCAAGAGGGAAACGTGCAGTTATCTGTGCTTGGATCACTCAGCCTACTCAATAGGTGGAAGAAGATGTAAAGCTTTGCGATGTGAGTCCAGAGATGAAAATGGTTTGTCAAGTGCGTGGGCTTTGGAAAAGGGGGGAAGAAAGTGAAAGGGTGGAAAGAAATAAAATGAAAAAGGTGTCGGTATTGTTAAATATTTAGTTAAATAAGCTCTGTAACATTTTGTAAGTAACACGCTCCCACAAGTTCTGGAAGCTTCAGACTTTGATTCTATAGGAAAGAACTAATGCTGTGTTTAATTTGACTGTTGTGAGAAAGTCTCTGTCCAGCTCTGGACAGGTGTATTGATGTAAAGCTAATCATTTGCAGATCTGTTTACAATCAAGACTCGAGTAGTGAGATATTAGCCTGGGTTATCCAACATTTGTTCAGAGTCAGAAAGAAATTCCCACAGAAGGGTCTGAGGTAATGCAGGCTCAGCTATACTGCAGTCTTCTCTCAACAACATTTTGTGTGCATTTCCCAATCATCACCCAAATGCAGATATCCTACTTGTATTTCCACTATGTGAAAGGTAAGGGAGTTTCCTGTGTTTCCACAGCCAGAGTCCCAGCAACTACTGGATGAACTGGGTACAAAGGGGAAAGGAAGAATCGCCTTGATAGAACAGTTGCTTAGTGAAGTAAGTTACCATTTCACCTTACAAATCTTTGGCCACTTACTGCATGAATATTAGCCTGGCACGTGATTTCAACTTCACACTTAGGAGGTAGCCTCCTCACAGTACAACCATCTTCAGGAACATTTTAAATGAGAAACATCTACTTTACATTTATATTATTTGTCCCCAAATTTCTATTTAGCGGGTTCGTAAGGCATTCTCCTCTAGGTTTCACCAGGCCACATAGAAAGAAAAAACGAGTGTTGGCGGAAGAGTCCTTTACGCAGAAAAGAAACAAAGCACACATCCTCTGCTTTTTGGCTGTAGAGTAAGCACAGCTTGACTGTGGGAATCTGTTTGGACTGCCCTTGTTGCATACACGTACTCTGGTTCTGAGCTAGGAGACAACAGTTTTCAGACAGAACATGAAGAATCAATAATATAATTTGGATATTTCTGTCCTGAAAATAGAGACCACTTGCCAGTATAAATTGATGTAACATATTAATGTTAAAGCACAGTGGAAAAATACGGCTTGTAACAGCTTACCTTCCTCCTGCATGTTCTAGGGAGCTGACCCAAACTGCACCAACACTGAGGGCCGACCTGCTCTGACGGTGGCTGTCCTTAACAGGCATGCAGAAGTGATCTCTCTTCTTGTACAGAAAGGTGCTGACATTGACCAGCAGTCAGGACTGTAAGTGAGCTGTGGTTCTCTGCCTCAGGTCTTTACCAAAAATGTACCTGTATCATTTCAATTAGAAAATCTACTGTTCTATTTAATTTCTTTCCCATCAACTTCAACTTAATACACTAAACCACATCGAAGCACACAAAAGAAATCAGTGCAACTTCTTGTATATTCTATTCCTATTAATTTTCCTTAGTTTAATCTGTTATAACATTTCCTTGCATACCAGGGTTTCCTTAGCAAAGAAGTACATTGCTGACTCCTTCCCTGCAGGCACAACAACACCGCTCTGCATGAGGCAGTTCTGCTTGGACTGGAGGGAAAGGAATGTATCCGAGCCCTGTTACGGTAAGTGCTGCAGCTGGGCATCCACCCAGTGTACCTGCACAGATCTAGCAGCAGTGGTGATGGACAAGAGCCTGCCCAACACTCAGTGCTGCCCCCTCACAGCTGGCCTTGCAGGAAGAGGCATCCAGGAAGTCTAAGCGACTCCACGTCAGTGCCTACATAGAAGCAACTCAGCTAATTCCAGTAACTTGGAATGAATTTAAGTAGCTTAAAACAATCTATTCTTTACTTACAGCTGCAATGCAAGTATTAAAAAGAAGAATACAAAAGGACAATCGGCATATGATTTGGCTGTTACAGCTGGAAGTAACGAAATTATTTCATTGTTTGCAAGTGAGCTTGGACAGGGAATGTTGGATAGCCTCACAAAACCAAGGGACATTGGTCTTGTCAGCATTTGATTACAACTGCCTTTTCTCCAAGATAGAGCTCAAGGTTCTCCGAATTCAAGAGAACTTAAACTTGCACATCCAGTCCAGTTTGGCCTGCAGACTTTGCTGAATCATACAATAAACTGATTATTTTGTAAAATATTCTCCCACTTACTCCCAGCAGTTCAGAACATAATTCTTCACTGTCTGTGCACTGGTGAAATTTCCTTCCCTAACTTACACAAGGAGAATGACCAACCTTGTCTTACAAGGCACAGCAACATTTCAAGGCAACCTGGTGAATGCTCCTAAAGACAATCTGACACCTGAGCAACAGCCCTGCAAGCTGGGCTTCGATACCATTATTTTTCCATTGTGAGGTTAAAACTGCATTCAGTTTGCTGCATTGCCTTCCTCTTTTACTTATAAATGCTTCTACATGAGACAACGGCCAAGTCTAACAAAAACTTGTAAGGATACTAAGCACACTGTGGTTTGGTATTACTAGACATTATTAGCCACCACAATCATATGTCCCTAAAGGAGTTTCAATCCTTTTTATTTCTAAAAGTAACCATAAGTACCAGTAGCATTCAGTACAAAAATGGAAAGGTCTGCTAGCTCTCACAAGTTTTTGCAGCAGGGCTACCAGCACTTCTCAAATGGGAAGAACTGAATTTACAAAACAGAATTTAAAAAAAGAACAAATAAAAGCACCAGTAACGGAAGAATAAAAGAATCCCTGCTGAAAAAGACAAATCTATGCAATGCACCACATCCCAGGTACTTCTCAGACCGACTCAGATAAGTAAAGAAGAATTCAGCGCTGTTTTGCTACTCAGAGGTGTGGCCATTGCAGAAGTGGTCCCAGGAAACAGCTTTTCAGACAGCATGGCAGTGTCAAGGCACACACACCCGGCACAGGAGCCTAAGGGCCCACGTTCTCTATCGCGTGCCGCACGTCCTTGGCTACATCTTCGATATCAGTCTCCTTCTGAGAAATCGCTTTTTTCTGCAAATGAAAACAAAGCCTTATGCTGCCTTACTGCACGGGGCACCAGTCGGTACCAGGGCCCCATAAGGGCTGGAAGCAGGGCAGGGCAGGGCGGCAGCAGGGAGCCGGGCCCGGAAAGCAAACAGCTCTTCCAGCCTCGGCGGTAAGGGAAACAGCACGCTGCCGAGGGGTACGTACAATTACGTTTTTGGCCCGCTTTTTATCCAGCTTCAAGAACTCCTGCACTGTCAGCTTAGCGGGATCTTTCTGAAGAGCGGCAAAAGCGCAGCCCGCGGAGTGCTTTTTGTGTTCCTCCCTAAAAAAAAAAAACACAAAAACAACGCCCAACAAGTTCGTAACGGCGCCCGCTCCCTTCCCCGGCCCGGCCCCGCCCCCCCACTCACAGCGGGTCGTCGTCGGGCTCCCAGCCCTCCAGCTCCTTGAGGCAGAAGAAGCACTGCACCACGTCGGGGCTGTTCTCGCTAGGGCAATGCACGAAGCCCGCCGCCGCCATCTGCGGGCACAGCCAAGGCCGTCAGCGCCACCCGGACCCCGCCGCCCCCCCCCCATCCCCATCCCCATCCCTCCGTTTCCGCCCGGGAAGGCTCACCCGCTCGGGCGTGCAGGCGCAGCCCTCGGTGAAGGGCCAGTTGCGGAAGGTGGCGGCGCGGGTGGAGACGAGGTAGACCAGCCACTCCTCGGGCAGCGCTTCAGCGTAAGCCGCCATTTTTCAAACGGCGGCTGTTGGGCGCGCGGGGCAGGGCGGGAACGGAGCGGCGCGGGGGCTGCTGGGAGATGTAGTCCGCGTCGGGGCTGCAGCCACCTTGCCGGCGTGGCTTAGGGCAGAGCGAACCTTAACGCCCACCCAGCGCTGAGGAACGGGCAGGACAAGCTCATCTCTAGCAGCTCCCCGATTGCGAAGCATCAAAGCACACACAGGCGCTTGGAGAGGTCTGGGCTTCGCTGTGCTCAGCCTCCGCTCCCACGTAACAGCAATATGTCAAGAGGCACAAATGACATCTGGTGCTCAGCTTTCCTGCAGCTGCTTTACAGCTGCGTCAAAAGCTCCCTCATCCTGGTGCTCATCAAGCGAGGGCAGGCAGAGCTCTCTGGCAGCCCTGGTGTGTTTTCACAGGGCTGCCAGCCCGTATGTGAGCACACACCTGATCTCACGCAATGCCTGTTAAGAGTCTGGCCCCATCATCTCACCCTCAGAAGACTCATGCTGAAAGCAAGGGGTGAATTTCTGCTCAAATAGTGCCTCCTTAGCGTGCTGTGCTCACCCACACAGCCAGCAGAGAAGTAGATATCATCTGTAACTGACATCTTGAGCATCCAAGATATGCCCCACCTGCATTCTGAACAGGTACTGCCAGCTTCATCAGTGCCCTTCAGATCTGGTTTGCTGGGATCCCTTCACCAGTCACAAATGCCTTTTTAGATCATCGCCATTTGTTTTTGCCCAAACTATCAGCAACACAATCTTTAAGACAGCTGCACTTTCTTCTCACTAAAGCCATTAGGATCAACAGGAAAGGACTTGATAGGGAACAGTTCAAAGCCATTTGAGACTTTCACAGGCAACACTAAGGAACAGGGTACAGTTTCCCAGAGCACGTTAAAATAATACCAAGGGATCAAAACTAAAGGCTACAGAGTCCCACAGATGTGGAATGCAACAAATACAACAGGCAAGTGGCTGATTTTTCAAGAAATAGAGGCAAATAAGCATGAAACAAGTCATCTCCTCCTTCAAGCTGCAGAGCAATTTCTTGCTCCTCAGCCTGCAGAACAGCAATAGCTATCTCCAGCCCCTATAACCTTTACTGAGTCCATTCCAGAAGCTCCTCAAACTCTTAAAAGCCACCTTTGAGAATGTGGTGCAGAATTGTTCTTCTACAGATTATCTTTTATGCCTGATCTGGCCAGCAAGGATAGAGCCTGCTAGGTCCTGAATGCACGGCCTCTGAGTGGATGCCCAGCAGAGAAGTAGCTACAGGGGAATCCTGCCAGCGCTCCTGTGGAATTTTGCCTTAGAGGGATGCTTCTTGCTTCTCTATTTGCCATAATTTGGTTTGCCAAGTGCAGAAAGACAACAGAAAGTCAGCTTAGCAAACAGGATAACTACAGATAGGCTCTTTCAAGGGAAGGGCTTTACTTTAATTCCATTCAAAAAGACATTTTTTTCCTTTCCAAGTACAGCTAATTCCTAACACCAGTAACATGGAAAATTTTCACAGTCATCAAGCAGGCTGAAATGTGCATGGATGTTAGGTCACAGTTCTTGGATGGGTTCTTATTTCCTCCCACTAACACTGGTTTTGATTGGATGGAGATACACATCAGCTACACAAAAGCATACTACATGTCCACCTTCCTGCTGTTACCAACATGAAGAGGCCATTAAGGCAATACAATAGCCAAGTACCTAAAAGGTATACACAGTAGATTTAAAACATATATTTGTTGTGCAGCTCTCTGTGGGTCTTGATGCAAAAGGTACAAGGCAGAGAATATGATTCATACTTAAAACACACTGACAGCCTTCAGTCAGAAAGCAGAGAGAAGTGCCAACTTCCTGCTCTTCTGCAGTTTAAAAAAAAAAAAAAAAAAATCAGAGAGAAAGCTGCTGCTGAAGTGTATAAAAGGGCTGGTATACCCTGGTATCAGACTAACTGTTGTATTTTGTTTTTCCTTAAATTCTTGGCTATTATTTTTTATTCTTTGCTCTCCTCTTTACTACGAGCCATGAAAACAGAATCTAAACGCTTCAGTGAACTGGAACCAGCTCACCTCTGCTCTTTCTCTCCAAGCTACAAACAGGTTGGTTCTACAAACCAGAGCCTGAATTTCAAACCACTGACTTTTGCTCCTGCTTTCTTCTAGCCAGAGTGCTCCTCTACAGCAGGAGGAGGCAGATACTGGCTGGAGCCTGTGAGGCTGGCTCTGCGGTTAGAGGTGAGCCCAAAAGGCTGATCTTCAGTATCAAGAACCGGCAGATAAGCTGTAAGATCTCAAAGAGCTCATGTAGCAGCTGCTGTATTCTATCTCACCTAGCTACAAACCCACCTGACATCTTGTTCCTGAACTCAAAACACTGCGTGTTACAAGAACTTCACAATGAGCACAGAGTCAACAAGGGTGAAGAAGGCCACAGGGAAGGAGCAGAACAAAGACATCTCCTCTGGGTCTTCCACTTAGGATCACGCAAGTTCACACACACTTCATTATTCTAAAACACAGCCTCAGTATTGCTATTCTGGCCCATGCAGAGCTTTCCTAAAGTCTGAATCCAACTATGTCACTGATATTGGACTCCCCTTCATGGATTCAAGACGTGGCTCCTAACAGAGCAATCAAATCACAGAAACACTGTAGATGACTTAAGTTTAGATGTTCATTTTCCATAAACAAAACATAAACAAAAACCCTGTAACTTGGGATAGGTTTCAAAATTTGAAATCCATGGGGCTCCTCTGAAGTGACAAGTTCTGGTGTTTTTGTTTTTTGGGTTTTTTTTTCCTTCCCTTTTTCTCCAGTGGCAATCCCCAAAGTGTCAGGAAAACTGCATAAGAATCTCTGTCTTTCAGTGGCTTCAGCATGTTTCTGTTGGCATTTCTGGGCCTGTCCCTCAGAGAGTGTGAATCAATCCTCTTGGATTGCACTTGCAGCACACAACATAGCACTGTTGATCTTAGAAGTCCTATCGAAAAAGGCCAATGTGCGTTCCAGCTCTCCTGTGACAGCCAGCATCCTCTGCTGAAAGCCACGGTAATACCTTGCTCGACAGGCTGGGCTTTTCACAGATCCCACAGTGGCTCTGGTAGATCAGCGCCGCAGTCTGAGAAAGAATGCATGCTTGCACTCCTTACTGTCCAAGGGATAATATTTGTCATAAAAATCCAAAATGTATTCTTCAGTCTTAAATCCAAATTTTTGGTAGAGCAGCATGGCGGGGTTGCTTGCAGAGACGTGAAGGGTTACATCTTTGCCCATGCAGGTCTGGCAGGGGAGGAGAAAAAAAAAAAAAAAGGCATCACAGCAAGAGAATGAAAAGCCTCTGGGGAAATGCGGAGGTGAAGAGATTCATCAGCTTTGGTATTTAAGTTACTGAGAAAATGTGAGAAAAATCCTAGGCCTCAACACAGACATTATCACACATAACACCAGCTGAAACATGAAGGCAATACTGCTCTTCCTCAAAGCCTTTGTTTCTGGGAAACACGGACTCTGACAATGAAATCAAAGCTTTGGATTCTCATCTGTAAGCTTCCCATTGTCAATTTCTAAGTAATTGTTAATTAAAAATAACCTCAGTGTACTGCACTAATCTCAAATACTTAGTGACAACAGCCTGAAGAAAAGACAAAACACGCCAAAGGATCAAGTGCTGTCCTCCTCCCCATCAGCAAACAGGGCTGAACTCTCTGGGACTGTGCTATAACGCCAGTGCACCTCTGGGCTGTCACACTGGAATTCCTCCACATAACACCCAGCTCCTCTCCCATCCTGCAGGGCATGGCACGCATCTCCTGAGAAGGCAAGAGAATTCAGTTCTGACAGCAATTGGCATTGCTGAAGTTACCATAAAGATCCAAGGTCATACTGGGCACCTTTCTCTCTGATAATCTAATAATATCACAATGTTTCCTGCTTTCCTTTAGTGCTTTAATAGCATCCTATATATGTTGAACATGTGGTAACTTTAAGTAGTAACAGCACTTAAGGAATTCCACACAGCATATCATTCCAAGTGAAAAGCTCTCATCAGGATTTAAGGAAAAGGAAAAAAAAACAACAAACTGAAATACTCAGGAACCACCTTGGGGAAAAAGAGGCTGAGATCATCAAGAAGATATACTTTGGCACTCTGGGCCAGATGCATTAGAAGGTAATTTCTGAAAACAAGTCCATCATCAAAGCACTACTTGCTTCAAAGCATTTTTTGTTAGATTATGCTGTTCCCAATAAAGCATCCCCAAAATAAGCACATTGATCTTTACCTACAAAGAATGAAACACTACCCTCCATCCAAACAGTGCACAAAGGTGGCCTTAGCTACAGAGAACAGCCCCTGGTGTCAGCCCATGCTGTCTACCACTGACAAATGTGCAGCAATGCAAAAATAAATCTAACATGAGCCAAACACACAACAGTGATGTCTCATTGCTAGTGAGTCCAATCAGCCTCAGCCCTACTTGGCTCTCCTCAACACGATAAGCTTTTTTGCTAGTTCACCTGAAAGTAGAATCAGAATTAATTGGCTGTGATGGGTCCTAAAAACATTTGTGGTGATTTTGCACAGCTGACTTGCAAACACATCCCAGCCAGGAAAGAGTCCAGCTGCTGGATCCCTGCAAACCTCAGCTCACCTCCCATGCCTGTTCCCACTGGGAGCTGACATCTCACATCAGCTGTCTACAGTTCACAGCAATTTAGTTAAATGCTTTAAGGTGGAGATGTTCGGGAAAGGCAAGGGGTGAATTTAAAATAGATTGCCCTATGTGCTGACACAATCTAACAACCAGTGAGAGGTGGGCACTGCAGAAAGCTTTGTTGGTAGAATTACCCATGGGTGGCCAAGAAGAGCTACTCGCAGTAGAAACTGCTTTTCTGAGGTACAAATGACTGTTTCTACAGATCTGCTAGAACTCATTCTCTCTTTAACCAAATAAACATTAGTGAAAGCAGTTTCAATGGTGAGCTCTTGCTAGTGCAACTTATCTCAACTAAACCAAGTTAAGGAACACTTCACAACAGCAGCTCTGCCAAGAGAGCTCAGGGAGTGCTAAAACTGGGTCCTGAGGAAGTACAGCTGGGCTCTGATAAGGACATCTGTCTGTACCCTTACTCAAAATTACGCTGGCTTTCATGCAATTCAATTCAAGAAAGTAACGGAATTAAGGATACCTTAATAAGAGCATTCATTCAGTGGTTTCATGAAGCTTAACTACTTTAATTTTTAAGGAGTTGTCCTTAGTTAGCTCAGATTAATTTTCCCAAGTGTCCTTGTGCAACAAAGCCTGGTACAAGCTGGTCTGAACAAATATGAATGAGGTTGCAAACACTTATTCTTTATCTTCAACTCCGCTGGATTTTATCCAGCATATTAGAAGTGAAGGAGAATGACTAGGATCAGTTAAGTGATTTAACACAACTGCACTGGTCATGGAATAAGCTTCCAGGTGTAGATAAGAAAAAATGCCATATATACCAACTGCAATATTAGCACTATTTTCCCCTTCCGTTCCCAAATTTACAAGATTGCTGTTATGGGAACTACTGACCACTGGAATAAGCACACCTAATCCCAAAAGACCCCATCACCTCACTAATTCTGAGGACCTTAGCAACACAGTCTTCTAAGCACATTTCAGTTTCTGCTTTTCAAGCAACTTCTCCCCATAAATCTTCCTACATGACAATCTGTGCAGCTATATGAGCAAACAAAGGGCAAGGGGAAAGGGGGAACACAGCACTACCTACTCTTGAACATGTGCACACGTACATACCAGGAAGAAGGGAGAGCTGGTGCTTTAGCAAAGACATGGGATTCTTTTTTTTTCCTATTACCTGGATAAGATGATAAATCATGAAGGTTGCAATTCCAGCTCTTCTCCACTCAGGGTGAACAAACAGAAAAGAGATGTAAGCTTCATTGTATTTCACATCTGGCACCATAAAGCCAAAGGCAATGATAACTTTTTTGTAAAGGACAACAACACTGAAGTCTGGATACTGTAGGCATTCTGACAAATCAATTCCTACAAAAAAAGAAATAAACAGTTGAAAGCACTACAAACCAAATGGAAAGCAGGGCTACACTGTCACACTTGCATGTAAATTTACATTTTTAAGCCCAGTTACTTGATTTCTTCCTCTTATCCATTTCCAAGCCCTGTGACTGACAGATGTTTCAACCAAACACTTAAACAAGATGAGACTTTTGCCACTGGTAACAGTGGACGCAGCAGTTAGAATGCACAAGGGGGAAAAACCTGCTTACCTGTTCTGGAGAAATAAACTAAAGCCAAATTAGCTAAAGGTAAAACTCAAAATCAAAAAAGGAATGGTTTAAAAAATATTTTACAAATTAATAACAATCTCAGTACCCAATTAATCTTTCCTTGGTTTGTATCCTGAGCCGTATCAGCAGTCTGTTGGATCCAGTCCTAAACACGTATATGGATTAAGACACTTGCACATACGCAAATATTTTCTGGATCAGGTCCCAGCAAATCTGGGATCCCCTTTGCCTACGGCTCTTGGGGCCGCAGTAACATGGAAGGACAAGGGCTTACTTCACCCATCTGTGCCTGCCAGCACCAGGCAGACACACACCGTTACTACCGCAACCGGCAAATGCCAAAGGACTTGTCTGCAAGCAAAGGGGAGCAACACAGAGTGCACCAGCTGGCTTCTGTGTGGAGTTTGTAACCTTACCCAATCACATGGCTGGTGCAGCCTAAGAGCATCTAGACAGCATGCTAAGGCCAAGCATTTAGCTCACAGCACAGAGAAGTGCTCGGTAATTTGTCTGCGTAGACAGGCCCTACACGAGGTGCAGGATCACACTATTTCAGCCTCACATAGGCAATCTGAGATATTCCTGTAACGGGGTAACAAAACAGCAGAGTACGTTCTGCAGTAATGTTTATCACTCATAATGAGATGTGAGACTTCAGAAAGCACTAGGCTTAAAAAAGTGGGTGAATTATTTTCTTGCTCGAGAGTAAGACGGGTGGAGTAAGACGTAGGAGGAATTGATTGGCAATAGGGAGCAGCGTTAATTATCTCAAGGCTGCAATTGACTGTGAAGTGCCTCAGAGCATGTCTGTACAGGAACACCACACTGCCCTGAGTGCTCCGGTGGTGGAGCAGCAGTGCCGTACCCGCAGGAAGACGCTTAGCTCAGTACAGTTTACCACTCGTCTGCTCAGGAGATGTTTCCCATTGGGGCATGAAGGCACAAGATACCATGAGAGACAAGGAGGAATCTTGCTTCACTTCAGCTCATTTGAGGTAACTACCCCTCAGCTTTTTTCTGCCTTGAGATAAACAAGAAAAGTTTTGACAGGAAGGACTTAGAGATGTGTAAGAACTAAGGTCTGGACTCACCCCACCTGGGGAAGTGCCTATGACTTAAGAACTCAGTCGGTGAGACAGTGTCTCTACTAGAAGGCACTGAGTGCTCTGAAGTGCACTAAACACAGTTCAGTGACAGTGCACCTGATAGGTCAAGTTGACAGCTGGCCTTCATGATCTTGTAAAGTCTTTTCCAATCTAAATGATTCTGTTTCTCTGAACACCACTGCTATGACATCCCCACAGCCGTGCATCCCATCCCCAGCTAATCAGCAGCTGCACCAGCCCAGCATAAACTAAACCTCTGGTGCCCACACAGACACTGTGCTTTACATCTCCTGCTAAAATAGACCAAGCTGCAATAATATTATAGCCCCAACCTCAGAAAATTTACACCTTGGAAAAGATTTTGAATTTTAGAGACTGGGAGTGTCAGCTTTCTGATTTAATGATGCACAGTCCCTAGTAGGGTGGAACACACCCACGCTCCTTATGTTAAATAAGACAAGGTGAGTCCTGAAAAGCTTGATGAATGCACAACCCAACTTGGCCAGAACTTCAAATGCATTATCAAAAGAGGATAGACTATGACAAAAGGGTTCTGTCTCTGTCAGGATTGCAGTATCTTGTGAGCTCCCAACTTGGCATATCTTGCCTTTCACAAGCCATCTTCCCCTGGAATGTACAGTTTGAACAATAAGTAGCACAAAGAGCTCTGATCCTGACTGCAGCTTAGGAGCACAGCTGAACTACAAGCAACGTTGAATCATTATCTGCAAATCAAAATGTAAAGCAAACAGTTATTCGGAATAAAGGCGTGGACTGTTTACACTGGGCTTTTCCGAATTACTCTGCAGTGTTGACTTCTAATCAGAAGCTTCACTGCTGTTATTTCACAAGAGTTAGAGGCTACAGTCTAACTGTTGCCCCAACTCCACCCAATAAAGGGCAGCCGCTGCCCCAGGGATCTTACAATTAAAGAGATGATACATAAAAATCAATATTCAAACTCTCTCATACATTGCAAATATCAAGCCTTGAAGAAATAAAGAACACAACACTGAAACTTGTAGCAGTGTGATTCCTAGATTTCACTTCAATGAGCATTAGACCTATGGTATAAAATTGTTTACATTCAGCCCACTCCCAAAACTCCACAGCAAAAGGTTCAACTGGTTCCTTTATTTTAGTAACTGACTATTTCTACTGGCATCAATGATGTTACTCAAAATAACCTATTTCTTTAAGTGCTGTGCTAATTAGGGCCTAATTGCCCAGTTCTAAATGATCTCAAAAGACAAAGACACCAAACCCACGTCTCCATCTCAACCACATTCCTATGATGTCAGATAATGGTTTTTTAAGAACTGAGCCAGACACCAACTGAAGAAAAGTTTGGCCCCAGAATGCTTTCTTTTCTGAACAAAACCACTTCCTTCTTAGAAAACCAAGCATCGAAGGAATCTTACCAGGCCAGAAGAATTCGTGGCACATAGAGTTTATAGTAGGGATGTGATTAGGGCGAACGTAGCAGTAATCAATGGGTGCTTCTGGCTCAGCCTTCCAGCTGAGATCATTCCTGTGTGGATACGCCCAGATTTCTGCCAGCAGCTTCAGTTTGGGGGGCTTTGTCTCATAATCACGCCTGCCAATTAACATGAAAAGTAAACACAAAAGGCAAGTGAGGAACAATGCCACTGCAGTCCATAAAATATTTTCTGACATGCTCTACTTGGAACAGAAGAACAGTCTTCCATTCATGTGGGAAAACAGCATATTGCTCAGCAATAGCACTGTTGTGTCAGAGATCAGAACACTTCGAACACATTGAGGCAGACTTTATGGCTGCACCAAGGATATTATGGGTCTGACCCAAGAGCAGGCAAAACTTGCACCTAAGAACCATGGTTCCTCCTCTGCCCTGCTCCCTCTTCCCTTGGAGACTACCCTTTCTAATGCCAGTTTAATTATTCAGCTAAACAAAACTATCTTTCCAAAGTTACCACAGGATACTGAATTGTACAGCAGTGAGCAAGGATGGCTGCCCAGAAGAAAAGCACCCTCTCCCTCAAGAACACCTCTTGCTCAGAGGCCACAAAAGGTAGGCTGTTGTTTCCAAAGTGAAGAGCGAATTCAACCTCTGGCCACCTGTACCTGATGTACGGTTTCAGGACACGAGACGTGTAAGGACTGACAATGCTGTGGTCTGGAAGCAGGTCTTCTGACCCTACCAGTCGATACAGGAACTTTGTTGTCTGCTGTCGATATCCTTTCATGGCAGGCAGCACTGTCTGCACATACAAAAAAAATTCAGAACATTTCAGGAAAACTAGTCAATGACTTAACACAAGGGAATCATGATAACAGAAAGAAAAAGGGCCTCCCATTACAACAGGATGATCTGGCCCCCAGGATGACTGTCCCACCTCAGAGGAACTGCAATGCACTCACAGATTCAGCAGCCGTAGCTGAAGCTGCGCTTACTGCACAGCGAAGCACTCCAGGTAACCTCTTTCCTACATGGCATGAAAGAATAGTTGGGGACCACCATGGTTTATTGGGCAGGACTGGAGTACAAATACATAGAAATCTGTGGTACTTATACTGACAGACAGTTGTGCTGACTGAGCATTTCCTGAGGAAAAAAATTGGAGCTTGTGAAATGATCAGCGAGTACACAGCTCCAAGTCATAGTAAGCCTTGTTCACATACATCTTTCAACTTCAAAGGCCAGATATTCAAAAGGTGATGCTGCTGCTGGCAGCAAAAACTCTAAAACAACCAGAGTCAAAGGATCGCTTAGATTTAATGGCACTCACTTGGTATCTGTCCAAGATCCTGAAGTCTTGACTCGTAGTTCTGTAGGTCGCTTGCCCTACTGGGGACCTGGAAACACCTTCTTTGGCTCCATAAATCCCATCAACCAAGAGCAGTGCAGCATTCACGACCTGGTCCAAGTCAAAAAGTGGCAGCCCCCTTTCCCTCTTGGCTTGCCTGACTATCAGCTTGCGCCTCAGTCTCCGGGCCTCTGGGGTCATGCTCAGGGCATTGGGACAGGCTTCCAGTCTCTTCAGCAGCAGCTTCTCCTCATAGATGCTAACAGAGGTATGCTTGGGAGCTCTGGGTTTGGCATCCTTCTCCAGCTGTGGTTTCCTCTTGTCTCTTCCCCTCAACTGCAGAGGCGTGTTTGACTCTTCAGGATCTTCACTGTCACCTTCCATCCTTTCTGTTTTTTCTTCTTCACTCTCCACTTCTTGCTTGATCTGCTCAGCTGTCTTCACTTTTTTTCTACTTGCTATCATGGTCCCAGCACCAGCAGTCCCACTTGGGGGAGGCACATACTCTATTCCTGGGTCTATGACTCCATCTCCTTCCATCTCCTCATCATCTGCTCAAAACATCATAATAATCCAGGAAGAAAAACGTAAACACACAAATCCCATTGCAAAAGGGGCTCTTGAAGAACTTTTCTGCTAAGGAACAATACTGTGGGATACCCAACAGACTCAATTTTCTGTATACTTCTAGGCCTCCAGATTTGGGACAGAGAATGCATTAAGGAGTCCAATTTCGGGACACAGAATTGATCCTTCTAAGATACCTTGCAATTTGGCATCCAAAAACATCACACACACTGAGCTGTAAAGCTCAAATATTAAGTTGCTGAAAATTCCTGAACACAATCAAATGGTGAACTGAAGAGCTCTATCTTTAGCTAGCATACCCTGGAGAAGCTTTGTTTAAAGTGATGTAACAATTACAAGTCACAAACGAACAGCATTTGTTGCTCTGCAGAATGTGATTCAGTGAGTCATGAGGGAATCACCTGAAGTTGATTCAGGGGAGATTGAGGTTGGATATAAGGAAAAATTTCTTCTCCAAAAGAGTGGTCAAGCACTAGAACTGGCTGCCAAGGCAGGTGATGGAGTCACCGTCCTTAGAGGTGTTTGAGAAACATTTAGTGTTGTACTATGGGACATGATTTAGTGGGAAAATATTGGTGGTAGGTGGATGGTTGGACTAGATAATCTTGGAGGCCTTTTCCAAGCTTGGTGATTCTATGATTCTATGACTACCTTCCTTCCAACAATAAGTGATTTACTCTCTATCTTCCAGATTAGAATGAGGTCTGGCTCCCCAAGGAACTGCCAGCATTCGCTATGTATCACTAGTCTGCAACCATCTTAACTTTAAAAAATCCTGCAGCTTTGAGAGCTCCTTTTTTTAATGTCTCCTTCTTGACAACTATGTGCAGCTTATTATTAAGAGAAAAATACAGCAGCTCTTACCATGAAACAGGGCCTGTGGTGGCATGACATCAGGGATGAGATCTGCTTCTGAGAGAAGGCTAGGAGTAGCTGAATGTGAGGCTGGCGTGCCAGGAGCAGAGAAATCCAGAGATGGGGAAGGAGAAGGGCTTGTCAGAGGAGTGCGATCTGAAGAGCTCAAAGAAGAAAAGTCAATCACCTCTCCTTTCTCAAGGACAATATCGGGACGACGGCCTCGACTGGAGAATTTAACAGGAGTGGAGGAAGTGCTACGGTCCAGGAAGCCGGCTGCCTCCTTCTGGGCTCTCCGAATATCCTTGGCTTCCTGAGTGCGAGACCTCTTCTCCTTCAGCTCCATGGCCGATTCAACTGGATTGCGGCTCACCCGTTTCCTGAGACCTTCCACAGTAATGATGGGATCCAGAGGTGGCTTTGAAGCTGCTGAAGAAGTAGCTTGCTTATTCTAACATACACTTAGCTCCTGCAATCACTGTATACGTACTATATAGTGATAAGAACACACTGCCTTGAAACTTGAGAGGATCTATTTTCAAGATATACAAGAAATTTACTTCAAGGCATGTAGCAAAGTCTGTGCGTCATTAAAACCTCACTTAAACCCTGTTCTTGCTCCTCTACATTGAAGGGAATTTGCATTTAGTGTGAACAAAATGAAAACAAAATAAAACACTCCCTAGGGTAAAGAAGAACAGAAGAATCACAGATTTCAGTTGCAAAGAAAAAAAACACCACCAAAAAAGCCCACGCAGATCTCAAAAGCCTTTAAATGAGTTAGCACACTGCAAAAGGGAAACAAAATATAAAAGGCTTTTCTTTTAAGCAAACTTTTGTCATGTTTTCCAGCTCTATCAGCTCTGGCCCAGCTAGGAATCTATATCCCATCTGGGAAACAGTTACCTTTCGCCTTTAGTGTAGATGCAGACAGCTTTTCCCCTTCAGGTTTCATTGTTGGGGGTTTATTATGAACCAGTTTCCACCACCCTGGTTCTCCAAATTCCTGGGCTCCTGAGCGGAAATACAAGGGGCTCCCCACAGAGAGACAGCCAGCAACTGTGCTCCACCATGTCGAGGTCTTTTTCCTACAGTGGGAGATATGGAAACAAGCGTTAGGTCCCTACTCACCAGCTGTGCCTTCACCCCTAAGCCTCCCCACTGCTCAGAGATGGTAAGGGCAGAGGGCTTCAGGCGCTGACTGACACAGCGGGATTATGTACTCCCTCAATTCCAGTCCTCCAGCAGAGAAAGGATTAAAGAATTTCTTCTCAGAAAAAGGACAACCCACAATCAACAGGCTCTGACAAAGTGCTGCATACCTACGTTCCATAAACGCCAGACAAATTGAGCACAGCGAGATGTTATTTTTCTTCTTGGGACAGTGAGTTGCGATACACGTATCTGATGGAGGACAGGCTAATTCTGCCACTAGAACCCCTGCAGTGCCCTTTAAACCTGGGAGATTAACATCAAATGTCCCAGTTCAGAGTCTGGAGCGAATAGATCTGGCAAGCACGAACACCACAGCGGTTCCTGAACTGTTACACATATGGTTTAGCTGTCCCTGCTCCACCAGAGGCTAATCCAGGCAAAGAAGGGAACCAACAGACTCAAGCCAGTACTCATTTCATCTGAAATCAATCGGAGCAGGACTACCTCGCCCATAAGGCAGGTCTCAGGAGGCAGCAGCAAACACTGAGAGGCAAGGCTCCCTGAGAGAGGGACAACTGGCCATCAGCTGCCCTCCTGCCAGGGTCCCGTTGGTTTCCAGAGGGGACTAACATTGCTGGGTACAGAGCAAGGAGGTACAGGCTGCAATGAAAGCAAACAACAAATCTGGATAGGGAGACAGGCCAGATCTCACAACAGAGAAATCCTTGAAGCCAGGAGGAAGTCTGTGAAACCAATAAATACACAACTTCATAGGCTTGCTCACTTCCTTTCCTGCCTCCATAGCACATGCATTAACAGTGACATTTGATTTTGACACTGGCAGTATGCTTAGAAAACAACACAACATTCACTTATGCAAGGCACAAGACACTGTCACAAGTTACCATTTATGAGAAGGGTTCTCATTCTAACAGCTTCCTCCTCAGTACACACCGAGTGAGAAAGAATTTACTGTACTGTGCAACACCTATTAAGAGCTATTTTATTAAGATCCAAAACAAACTAGAAGACAAAGCCCAGCTTCCCTTTGTCGTGAACTTGATCATACAAACTTTGGAGCTGAGGAACAAAGTACTTTGCTGAAGCTCTTTCTTTCAAGTCCAGACAGATGACATCAGGATTAGCCCATCCGCTGTGAAAATTTAGTCAGACTGAAAAGCTTTGTGGGTTCATACAGTATTTAAATGAAGAAATAACTCCAAAACATATACAGCTACATGGCTACATTTTTTATTTTGCTTTTTTTCCCCTTCACATTGAGAAATGCTTATTTTTTCCTCAAGATTGCCCCTCATGCCTATATTCAGGTTCTTAGCATTAAATACTTCAATTTTCTGGCTAGCTAGACTCAAGAGACATCCCTAACTAACCAGGGCTCACGTTGCCCACCTGTATACCAGCTTTTAATTCATTCAGCTCACCAACCAAAGCTTCCAGGACACAGCGTGTCTTTACCTGTTTCCTAATAAGAAAGTCCAGTGTTTCTCAATAAAAGCACAAATATCTTCTTTCCATCTGAAGTACCCCTGACGGCCAGTTCCTTCCAGAGACAAATTGTACATTGCCAGCATGACAACCTGGAACAGAAAGCAGTGGAAACCAGTGCACCTTTTCTGCTTCTCCTGGTGAGCTGCCACCCAACTGTGTGACACTATGCACACAAATCTTTGCAGCCTCATAGATATCTTATTTTGCAACATCTCTTAGGCAATTTCAGCAGTCTTTCTTTCATGCTGCCTTTTCTCATCTCTCTATTGTTAGATGAAAATTTTTCTGTCTTCCCCCCCCCCCCCCCCAGAGATTTCACCACCCTAGGGGAATAAAAGCTGCTTAATTACACAGGTTTATGAAGAAACACAAACTTCTGCAGTGGGATAAATCAGTCATACGGCAACTGGGATCTGAATGCAGTGTGCAAGTATGAAGAGTCTTTTTCAAAAGACAAAAAGAATTGTGACAAGCAATCCCACTACCTTATTCATCAGAAACATAGCAATCAGAGTGTTCCCAGATATTCACTGTTGCATATTAAATTGAACACAGGCTAAACTATGTAAACCTGCTGCCACTAAATCAAATACTAGATCAGGTTGCCCAGGCCCCACCCACAAGGACAGGGCATCCACATCATCTCTGGGCAGTCTGCTCCAGCACCCCACCAAACTCTCAGGAAAAAACCTCCCCCTGACATCTAATCTAAACCTCCCCTCCTTCAGTTTAAAACCACTCCCCCTTTTCCTATCACTATCTACCCATGTAAAGTTGATTTCCAACACATTCATCAACTCCCTTCAAATGCTAGAAGGCCACAATGAGGTCTCTTCTCCGCTTTCTCTTCTCCAAATTGAACGAGTTCAGTTCCTTCACCCAGTCTCCATAGGAAAGGTGCTCCAGCTCTCTGAGCATCTTCGTGGCCCTCCTCTGGAGAGGAGAAGGCTCCAAAAGCTGTACTTCTTTCCCATGTTGGGGCCACAGAACTCCAGATGGGGCCTCACAAGGCCACAATAGATGGGGACAGTCGCCTCCCTGTCCCTGCCTAGGGAGACTTTCCTCTTCACCAGTTCTGATTCCATCTCTCCCTCTGACATGCCACCCTCCTTCCATTCTGCTGAAGAGGGCAGAGCATAATGCTGCTGACTTTGCTCTCTGGTGCACAGTTGGCAACACTGACTTTTTCACCCTGCAGCCCTACACAGGACGCCAGCAGAAAGCACTGCAGAACTTACACCTGATGTTTGAAATGATCTATTATGAGACAGCACACGACTTCTGTCACAAAGAGCAGAAAGATGTCTTGTATACACCTCCCAGTGCTCAGCATTTGGAATCACTTAATGCTGGGCAGTAGCTACCACTTGATCAAATCCATTTATGCAAAAGCAACTGGCACTTCCTGCGTGCCCCTCAAAGTAAATCTGCACTCTACTGGGAGCAAGACATGCATCACCCTATCCACACAGTGGTTGCTGTCTAATGCAGAATATTTTGACTGCTCAGGTGTGTAAGTGACTGAACTTGCAGAATCCAGCAAGAACTGTTAGTAAGCAAGCAGCCAAGTTAGAGCTTTGCATTCAGGGAACTGGCAAGCTTTCTGTTTGTGTGCTGCCACCTCACTAGTTTTATATTTGCTTGTATATATAAAAAACTGTTCATGCCTAGAAGCCAAGTTGCATTTTGCTTTTCCAAATTCGCCTGAAGCCATGAAATTCACGTGCAACATGAGTGAGGAGGGAAAAAGAGGAGGAATGTGGTTTGTGTGATTATCTTGCAACTTACTTGCCAAATACTCAAATTCTAATCTGCAGGCAATCCTCTACTAATTAATTTCTGCAGTTCACTCATATGTTTGTCATCTGTACCCAATCCTCCTTTTCTAGGTAATACAAACATAACAAACAACAATTCTCTGAAGTGCTGTGGTCGTTCTCCTGGCACAGACATTGTACTTACTTGTTGCCAAGTTAATCTCAGCCGCTCAAATTGTTCTTTTCCATCTTCTGAGCAATCTGAGCAAGTAAATCTGAAAAAGTTATCTCCTTTGAGATAGCTGAGCTGTTCTCTCAGTTGACCTAAAAATCAATAGGCAAAAGATCACACTTTCAGTCCTTCCATACAAAGAAAAGCTGCAAAAAAGATCTGGATTCCCTACAACATCAGGCAGAAAAACACTTTTGCCTTTTCCTAGAGTCCAAAGACCCAAGCAGTACCCAACAAGTGCTGGCACAAGCTGTAATGTAAGGTATGGGTTCATTTTACAGTTACAGCAGCCAGCAGTGACTATCAAAAAAGCACAGGCGTTAGAAAGTCTCGTTCTACTTCACAGCTGAACACAGCCAAAGGACTTCCTCCACATTTTTCATTAGTTTTTGCTTCCCAAGAATAATCTATATATTGCAATAAATAGCCATTTTCCCCATTCTAGTTGATAACAAATAACAAAAAAACAGCTGATCTGCTAACCCTGCAAGAAGTTTGAATAAATGTCATCTACTGGGGTAGAGACAAATACAAAGTAGCACGCATTAAAAGCTAAATGTTCTAATTCTGCTTCAACAGCAAACAATGGACAAAAAAAAAAAATCAGGATCCCTAAACGCAACAGAGATGAAAGAAAGCAAAATCAGAAGAGAGGGAAACAGAGGATTATGGCATTTCTGAAATACACAGGAAAGGTCTGCCTCTAAAAGCGTTCCATCTCTTTCATTACTGCTCTTGGGATTTGTTCCACAGCAACAAGAGGAACATCTATCTTTGTAAAACAGAGCAAACTGAGTGTTAGATTGAGTGCCCTGACATCTCATGCTACCTTTAACTCTATTCCTTTTTATTATTATTATTAATACATTTCAAGCTAGTATGTCCCACTGTCTGCACAGCATCATTTTAACAGTACTATGCTGGCTCCACCACATTACTAGCAATGCTTACACCATGCCTTGAGGGATTTCTACACTAGACTCGTGGCAAGTTCTAGGATATTAATAAGGGCAGTTCTGATACAGCTGTGAAATAGGTGTCACAATGAAGAGTTCCATAATGCTAAACACAGAAATAATAAAAACACAACAACTAGATAACAAAACAGCAACAAAAAACAGTGCTTAGCAATACCTAGGTTTTGGATCTAATAATAGAACCAACTGCTTAGAATTCCTAATGTAAAGCCTGCTATTTTGGTAGCAGCATACACCTTATGTCAAGCAGCAACAGCAAAGGGATCTGCTTATTTAGCTTGCTCCAAGCACCCCCCAAAGCTAGACACACTTCTGCAAAAGCTAAATTGAATTCACGTTATGAGAAAATCATTAATGCTGAGATTTATCCATATGCTGCACATATGCAGCAAGCTAACTAGGGAAGAAAACAATAAAAAAGAGAAGTAGCTCCACATCCAAGAGGTTCCTCCACAGACCTTTGCAGAAAGAGTTCTTTATTTGAGAGGAGTGAGAGGACAACTCACTTGGCCAAAGTCCCTTGGCATGCCAGTGACAGGCCTCAGGACAGCACGTGCATTTCTGATGTCCTATCCTTGTTTGGCAGTAATTAGAGCAGACAGCCCCCCCTCTTGCAGGGAACACCAGCTAACAACACCCACACAGCTCATGGGTTGAGGTGCCCAACACACAGAACAAGCAGCATGAGGCAGCTGAGCTCTGTGCTACACCTAGACAGCACTTTCACCCCACCCCCGTGACATAGCTAACCGAAAGTCACACAGAGCAAACAGGACAGCACAGACACCTTGTAAATCACAACCCTGGTGATGCCAATTGCACGTGGGAAAGGCTACAAGAAACAACAAAGCCAGCCCTCTTACTTGCTGGAATCCACTTCTGGCACTTCTCGCAGTAGTAGGACATCTCCTCCATCCAGGACGCATCACCTTCATCACTGTTCAGTGAGTCTCCACTCTGGTCATGGGATAAATCCACCGAGGCCTGGTCCTCAGACTCTACAATCAGGAGGGTTTCCCCTTCCACCTCACCCTCCTCCAAGCCCTCCGAAGTCGAAGTCCTCGTGGCTTCATCGTCATGGCGGCTCAGCAGCCCGCTCATGTGGACGTTATTAGCCATCCTTCATGGCCTACAGCAGGATGGGGTTTGCATGAGCCCGTCCTCCCCGCATTCACAAGTCCATCCACACTGGATGCGCCAAGTCTCCACAAGTACTGGTGATGGAAGAAATATTTTGTGTGTGCCCTATGGCTTTTGGTACAGGAATACAACGTGTCTGAAAGAAACAGTCTTCCACAGCTGATCTTTGTTTACTGAAATACTTGAAAGTACTTAGAATGCAATCATCACAAGTGCCTTGAATCAAACCTCTGACAAGTCAGGTCCCACCTAGGACTGCTGGGATCCCTTTTCCATTAGCATCTTCTCTCTTTCTTCTGTAAGCTGCTTTGTCAAAGCAATCTGCTCTTCCAGCAGGCGAATGTTTTCCCTTTTCTGATTTTGTCGCTCCAGATCTCTGAGGACACCACTGTGCAGCCTCTGAAAGCACAAGGGACAGGGTTTATCACAGCCTGTTCAATCGTGAACTTGACCAACCCTACCTGGGCTCCAGTCCATCTTGCAGGACTGCTCACCGTGCCATACTGCCTCTGCAAACCTCCTACAGCCATAACGCTCTGTGGTGCACTGGTAGCTCCCACACCGCGCAGGATAGACACAAACTGTAACAGTCGGGTATCTCTGCCCAAAGCCTCTACCCAAAGCCAAGCAATTTCTCCAAAAGTGCTATTCTGCTTGGAGAGAATTTGGTGGCAAAATAAATTTAAGGAAAAACCGCCATTTTATCTTGATTTGCTTATGTCTCACTCTTTATTTTTTTAAATTATTATTTAAAAAAAAATAAAGCTAGTAAACTCTCACTGTAAGGCTGGCTGAAGATCCACAGCCTGCTTACGCCAAGCTCTTGAAACAGCAGGGCACTTCATTTGCAGGCTGTACTCTTATCCAGAACATTTGTTATACATGAGACACACGGCACTGATGAGCAGTTTGCACACTGACAGCTAAGTCACCAAGCAGATGTAAACAGCCTTAAGAAGATTGCAGTTACTCTTTTGTTTCCTACTTAAGCTTTTCTGTCTCTGCTACCCATAATCTCAGAACGGTTTGTGTTGAAAGGGACCTTTAAGACCACCTCGTTCCAACCCCTGCTATGGGCAGGGACATCTCTCCCTAAACCAGGCTGCTCACAGCCCCATCAGCCTGGCCTGGAATGCCTGCAGGGAGGGGCATCCGGAGCCTCTGGGCAACCTGTGCCGGTACCTGGGAAGGCACCCGGCAGGTTTTTGCCGGGCACCTCTGGAAGCCGTGAGTGAGAAGTGCATTTTGGGAGAGAGAAGCTCACAGCAGCGGCCTCATCAGGTGCCCCAACCAAAGGCACCTGCCATCGGTTAGCAAACGAAGCAACAACTACAGCACACAGAAGGCGCAAAGGGCTGCGAGCCCCATCCTGACAGCGGTAGAAATACGCGAACGGACGAGAGGGCATCACACCGCTCCGGGCCGGCCGGCCTCCCCGCTCCCGCTCACCTCACGCTCCCGCCGCTGCTGGACGTGCACGGCCGCGATGGTGGTGGCGGAGAGGAGCGCGGTGACGACCAGCACCGCTCGAGAGCTCCTCGACATCGCCGGGCACGCGCACGGCCAACAGCCGTTAGCAGCGCCCGCCACAACCGCCTGCCCGCCGCGGGGGAAAGGCGGGACCGGGAGAAGGGGGGGGGGTGAAACGAGCCCGCCCTGCCGAGCGCCGAGCGCGTCGAACCGCCGCCGCCAGCCCTGAGTAGCGGAGGGCCGAGAAGGTCAATGGCATCCTTGCTTGTATCGGCAACAGTACAGCCAGCAGCAGCAGGGAGGGCATCGTCCCTCTGTACTCAGATCTGGTGAGGCTGTGCCTCGAGTGCTGTGTTCGGTGCTGGGCCCCTCATTACAGGAAAGACACTGAAGTCCTGGAGTGTGTCCAGAGAAGGGCAATAAAGCTGTGAGGGATCTGGAGCACGAGCCTTAGGGGGAGCAGCTGAGGGAGCTGGGGTGGCTCAGTCTGGAGGAGAGGAGGCTCAGGGGAGTCCTTATTGCTCTTACAACTGCCTGAAAAAAGGGTGTGCTGAAGTGGGAGTTGGCCTCTTCTCTCAGGTAACAGCAATAGGATGAGAAGGAATGGCATCAAGTTGCACTAGGGAAAGTTCAGGTTGGATATAGGAAACATGAGTGGTGAGGCATAGGCACAGGCTGCCCAGGGAGGTAGTGGATGGAGTCACTGTCCCTGGAGGTGTTTGAGGAAAGGGTAGATGTGGTACTGAGGGACATGCTTCAATGGGCAATATTGTGGGAGGTGGATGGTATGATTCTATGATCACAGGAGGGTTGTGGTCAATGGCTTTATGTCCAGGTAAAGGCTGGCGATGAGTGGTATCCCCCAGGAGCCTCTTTTGGGACCTGTGCTCTTCAGCATCTTTAACAGTGAGCTCTAAACTAAAAGAGAGGAGATTTAGATTCCATATTAGGGGGAAATTCTTTACAGTGAGGCCCTGGCACTGCTGCCCAGAGTAACTGTGGGTCCTCTATCCCTGGAGGCACTCCAGGCCAGGTTGGATGGGTCCTGGGCAGTCTGAGCAATTGGAGGCAGCCCTGCCCATGGCTGGGAGTTGGTGAAGGGGCTCTAAGGTCCCTTCCAACCTGAGCCATTCTATGATTCCATGATTCTGTGTTGAGTTGCTGCTTTCAACTCACAAATTCCTTATCACCAGCAGATGGGAGGTTTATTGTGAGAGGCAGTCTTATCCCTGACTCCTTCCTATGCTTTTTGTCCGAGTGTTTGCCACTGCTGTCTGTCAGGTGGGAACACAAGGATTTTCAGCTCCTCTAAGACAGGCTCGGCTATTTCCAAGTAGAGCATGGAGGTGCTGCACTGTAGTCAGCTTTGATGACACTAGTGTGGACCTTTGCTGTGAGAAGGTGGCCAGGGCACATCCCCTGAGTAGAACCGGAAAACTGAATGCATGAAGCCAATCCTTCCTTGTTATAATCTTCTTCATCTGTCTGCTGAACAAATGTGATTAAAATGAAAGGTAAAATTAGTGGAAATGATAGCATTTCAATTTAATATAATAGTTTTGCTCACGTTTTTATGTTTACTGTTATTAAGACGTGCATAAGTGCTTGTAGCACAGCCAAGGCCACCGGGTGCCAAGAACAGGGTTGGGCCAGATGTAGAGCGGGTGTGAGCCAAGGCACAGTGCCTTTGGCACCATGGAGGGGCACAGCTTGCCCAGCTGGAAGCCAAGTGCCTCTGTGCGAGCCTGGCATTAATCACTTCAGGGCCCAAAACCCCAGACAGGGAAAGTTGAGGCTGTGGTTTCACAGTGGGGAATTCTGGCTCAAGGTGTTCCCATTTTCCTCCCATCCCTCCTGAGGGCCAAGGGTTGCTGCAGTGCTCACCTTCCCCAGGGTCAGTCTGCTGTGGTCTACCATTCTGGATAGTTGTTGTCTTTCCATGCTCAGAGTAAGCTCATTGAGGAGGTGACCTTTTGGAAAACCAAGCTAGCTGTGGGCTAGACTGGCAACTAGGTCTGGCTTAAAACCCCGCAGCAACTACGTGGAAAAGTCCCCCTTTCTTTTTGTGTGAAGCTGCTCTCCAGCTGGATGGTGTGGACAGGCAGTGTGCATACAGCCAGAGGCGTGATGCAGGGATGGAGAGCAGGAACGGCATTGGAGGGAGGGAGACTGAAGTGCCCTGCAGTGATACTGCTGGGGAAGCCTTTCAGCTGGCAATTAGCACAAGGGGAAAAAAAGAAGATTTCAGAGTTATCTACAACAAATACAACCTTAACCACCCACGAGCCATTGCAGAGACATCTCACAAGACTTGTGGTGCCACTGGTGGTAGCTTATTGCAAGGAGTCAAGCCACACTGCTCTGGAGCAGAGAGTGAGATGAGATATTGAGCTTGTGCTGAGGGAAATTGGCTCAGAAGAGCCTTTCGGGTTTTTTTGCTGGCTCACCTGGTTTCTCTCCACTTAGGGTTTCCTCGAATAAACACCTTGGTTTGCTAATAGAGGGTTCCTGGCGTGTTGCGTCTGTGCTATTCTTTGATGTCCTATTTCCTGTGCCTCTGTTCCTCCTTTGCTAGCCTGGGCATAGCAGCATGCATCATCTCCCAGAGAAGGGCTTGCAATTCAGCCAGGAAAGGGTTTATTCGCATGTGAAGGAGGCTGTGAAAAGCTAGAGGCCATTTCCCTCCTGGGCAAACAGCTCAGATCTCTACAGTTATCTTGAATAAGCGTCTGAAGTCAATGCTTAGAGGGCATTTTTATCCCGGTTTCCTAAGAAAACGAAGCTTGTGCAACCTCTGTGCCTCATTCACCCCCTCCCTTCCCCTCTGTTCATGCACAGGCGTCTGCCAGTCTCCCAGATGAGGCCGCGTTGGAGTTTCTGTGTCAGGAAGGTTTCTGTGTTCATCTGCCAGTTCCAGCCCTTTCGATAGGCGTGGAGGAGTTCTTGCTGTGCTGTGTGTGAAGGCGTGGTTACACTGAAGCAGGAGAGCAGGGTGAAGGTAAGGGGTGGCTGCAGCACCTTAATCCATCCACCAGAGAATCCAGCCCACGGAGCTCTCACTTGCAGCTCACCTAGCAGGTCATCAGCTGCTGCAAATCCCCAGGAAAATCCCATGAGATGTGACAGGGATGGATACAAAATATGAACTGAATCCATTTCCAGGTTTGATTTGCAGCCTGAACACAGCCCCAGTTGTCCCACCTCTCACTCCCAGGGACAAACCAATCTACAAGCACACAAAGCATCATGAGTGAAAACCCCGAAGATGTGTTTCCCTCTTTGCAGAGCCAGCTCTTCCTCCTTACGCAGCATTTGTGCATACCCTCAGCGCCCCACCAAACAGCCAGAAGGCAGGCAGAAGGTTCAGACCCCACCCAAAGTATGCATGATCCCCTTCACACAGTAGAGCCCAACAGGGCTTTCCAGCGCTGCAGGCAGGAATGCACCCCCCAACTGCTGTCCTGTGTGCATGCAGCCAGCAAGAAGGCTCAGGAGGACGGGGATGAGTGAGCAGAGATGTCTGAAAGGGAGAGAGCCTCTCCTACTGCTGTCAGCACTGATTTTCTTACTACAGCAGTACTAACAACAGTGACAGAAATTATCATTACTGTGTTGCAGGCATTTTTTTCTCACCGCAATACTGTTTCCCTTCTAAGAAATGTAAGAATCCCCCCAACAGCTGCAGACCCGATTGCTGCAACGTGGACATTGCTCAGGTGCAGCCTACCTGTCCAGGCAGCCCTTTTCCCCATTGGATTTGCAGGGC